AAATGTGGGTTTTTAAAAAATAAAATGGAGTACTACTCAGCCATAAAAAATGAGAAATTAGAGACATTTATATCTAAATGGATGCACATTGAGGTGATACTCTTTAAGTGAAATAAATAGGACACACATGTGTAAATACCAAATAGTTTGTCTGGTTTGAGAAACTGGAAGTGTAAATAAGGACTGAAAGTTATAACAGATAATGTGAAACAGGAAGAAAAGGGGCAAAGGGGAAGGTGAAGTGGGAGGGGTAGGGGAAAGGAAAGAAGGGAATGGAATATGAGAAAATGAAAAAAATGGGAACAAAATCTTTGTGAATAGGGAGGAATGGAGGGGCTGAAGGGAGGGCAGGGGAAGGGAGAAAAAATAACTAAGAGAGATTATGTAAAGGTGTAAATTTCCAATGATGAATGTTATCACTGTACACACTTAAAATGTACCAATAAAATAACTTTTTTTTTTAAAAAAAGACACTGCTAGAGAAAAAGAACAGATGAGCCTCAGAAAGTGAAAAATATTTGCAAAACACATATGTGATATAAAAGACTTCTGTCCAAAATACACAAATAATTCTTACAACTCAGCAACTGGAAAACAAGCAACCAAAGCCCAGAATGGAGTGAAGATCTGAGGAGGTACCTCACTTAAGATGGTGGTCAATGAGCATATGAAAAGATGTTCAACACCATCTACAATTAGGGAATTGCACATTTAAATGACAATGAGATACCATTGCACTAACCCATCAGAAAGCACAGATTCCCCCAAATGCTGACGGGGATTTGGAGCAACAGAAAACAGTCACTGCCTGTGGGGTGCAGAGTGACCCAGACACTTTGGAAGACACTAGGGCAGTCTCCAGGTATGCTTCAAGGTATTACCAAACAAACAAGAAAGCTCATGTCCACGCAGAAAGCTGCACACAAAGGTTTATATACCAGCTTGGTTCCAACTGCCAGAGCTTGGAAGCAACCACAATGTCTTTCAATAAGTGAATAAACCACAGTGCATCCATGTACAGAATATTATTCAATAGTAAAAGGAAAAAGATACTAAGCACAGAAAGACAAAGAAGAATCAAAGTTGTACTACCAAGGGGAAGAAGCCGGTCTACAAGGCTACAGACTGTACAGCCCATGTATTCATCATGGGACTACATGATGGCACCACTATGATCCTAGTCATATGACATTCTGGAAAAGGAAAACCCACAGAGACAGCAGCAGATCAGTTGCTGCCAGGGTCTGAGGAAGAAAGATGAATAGTGATCTCTGGGGTACCGGAACTACCCTGAATGATCAATAATGGCAGGTCTATCGCTGTACACATTTGCCAAAACCCACAGAAGGTACCACAAAGTGTGGACCCTAACATAAATGATCTACTCTGGTTAATAATAATGAGTTATTATTACCAATTAGCAATTCCTACCATATACAAGACGTTAGTGATAGGGGAAATTGGTACGTGTCACAGCTATGTGCACGTACTTGGATCTTATTTGGCCAGCACTTACCAGATATCGTCACCAAGACGTTCAAGCCCTCGAGCACATCCATCTGCTGGAAGCGCCTCCTGTTGATCAGAGGGTACACCTTCCCCTGGCCACTTCGGTCCAGCAGCATCAGGCCACTCTCTGTGCCTACCAGCAGATTCACCCCTGCATGAAGGACACAGAAAAGCAACATTTTATGTCTTGTTGGCTGGCTGGCCACCTACAAGGAAAGGGCAGTGCACCCACCTGAGAAGAGGGCACCTCCTTCCTTCACCCAGAGGAAGGAGCACATAGGATTCAGAGATGGAAGCATACACACCAGCCATACAGTGACAGTGATGCCACTACGTAAGATATGAGAAAGGAATAAGGAGAGGAACGAGGATCTCTCTGATGATCTTCACAGCCTCCCATTTCTAGTTACTCAGATTCCCCTAAAATGTAGAGAGCCTACCATCTCTGTGTCTTTACAGATCTCATATCTAAGGCCACACCAGACATGAACAAAACCTTCATCTGACAGCAGCTTTCTTTATTTTTGTGGGTGAACTTGAGACAAGTCAGATATATAGAAAACCCTGGCCTTCCTCAGCTTGGGAGCTGGGTCTATCAGCCTCCACCAGCATCAGGGAACTGCTGCACCCAGCTCTCTGGCCTCTCACTTCTTAGGGACATGAGAACACGTGGCGCTCCTGGTAGGACCATGCTGAGTTTCTTCCTTTTCCACTGTGGTGGGTGGTCTTCCCTGCTTCTTCTACAGACACTGCTGTCGCTGCCTGGCTGGTAGGCACATCGTCACCTGCCTCAAACAGCGTCTCAGAACCAGTAACTCTTGATCCCATGCTGTAGCTCCCAGCTTTTCCACCTCGCACAATGAGTTCAGCTGACCCCTCAAAATAGGTATGGCCTCCCTACCTCCATCTCTTCCACTATCTCACCCTAGCTCAGGCTTTGGCAACCTTGGAACTAATGCACAGGGCCCTAATTCAGATTAAGAAACTATTTTCTTACAACTGCACACCAAATCAATTCTCATCTCCATAAATCATTCTCTCCATGGAGAAGTTCAAAAGCCAACCATGGTATTGGAGACTTCTTACCCCTTGAGACAGCATCCTTCTCCCCTCTATCATACACTTACGTCCAAATGCTCTTGCTTCCTAGAACATTCATCGTCTAAACCTCCAATGGAAACATACCATAAGGAAACTAGGCGCATACATGCTTGCATGGATTCCCAAAACTGGGCAATAAACTACTGTGACAAGAAAGAGTTTGTGCTTTTATAAAGTAACTGCTCAGTCAATAATTCAGGTAGACAGAATGGCAGGGAAGAGTATCATGGCACACATGATACTCACCTCCCCACCCACCCACCGGTTAGACTTCCACAGTATTTGAAATGAAGAATTGTGAGGACAACAAGAAAACAGCCTTGAAGAGCCCTTTCTCAGCCTTGGTGGGTGCTACGGCAGGATCTGGGGACAGCATCTATATAAGCAATCCTTGGCAGGGAACTGGAAACACCTCTGGAGTCCTGGGAGAAAAGAGGACAGGCAGACTTGCTATTGCTGCCCCCAAACCCAAACGAGAGCCCTGGTGACCAACAGGGCCAAGCACACAGGAACAATCATTATGGGTGCCCCAAAGCACACCATCCCTGGGCCCTCAGAAAATGTAAAAAGTGTAAAAAAATCTTTACAAGTTCCAGGGATGGGCATTCTGTTTCTGATAATAGTGTGGCCTGATAAAAGCCCCCATGAAAATCTGGCCTACAGCACAAGATTCCATCTCGGAGAATTTTGTGCATGCCCCTCCCCTCCCACAGATGCTTCCTACCGAGACAGTGGTTTAGAGGCTGGCAGACAAGGAGCTCTAAGGAATTGGAAGCCAGCCTCTGCAAGTCTGGGGAAAGACTGCTGAAGTAAACAATTTCCTCCCAAATGATCATATGTACAGCCTAGGGCACAAGGCTCACAGGCTCACATGGTTCCTTCCATCATCTAACTCAGGTTCAGGTGCACTCTAACCAGGCCCACCAACAGGATGCCCTACGGGGATGTGGATGCTCTTTATCTGTACTGTCCAGGGGCCCCCGGCCACATGTGACCCAAGGATGAATGAGGAGCTGGACATATTACTTTAATTTATTTAAATTTAAGTAGAAGCCACCATAATGGAGAGCATCACTATGAATGATATTTTACAGCTCAAGTAACATCATGGCATTGAATTAAATCTTATGCTTTACAGTTTTTAAACTTATAGCAAGCAATTTTGTTTTTATAAGCAAGTTCTTCAATAGAACATACACATCAGGTAGTAACCTAACATTCAGAGAAAAAAATAGCTGTCCAATCTAAAAGCAAATTTGTTGGTTTTTATAAGAGGAATTAATAGTATATGTAGTATGTTCTACTCATTTTCATATAATTTTCTTAGGTTGGCAACATTGACCTGACAACTTCCCCTCACAACACCGTTATTTTCACCTTCTGCCCCACTGAGGCTGCACTGAGTTAATTCTAACATCTATAAAGTGACCCACACACAAGATAAATATCTGCTGACGAGCAGCAATCACAAAAACTGCCCGTTACAAGGGCTCCATTTTATAGAATTATTTTGGTATTTTCCTGGTCAATGTCAAATAGCTTGAAAGAAAAATGAAAAACATGTCACTCTGAGCTCCTGCAGCGGGAAGGTCATGGTCACCTTCAGTCCCTGGACCTAGGACCCCTAGAACGCACATCCACCTGGTCAGACAAGTGGACTGGTATGAACCTGGAGAGAGATGTAGCAGTGTAGGCTGCTGTCAGCAGCAGCAGCAGGAGCTCTGAGGACACCTTCATCCTGCAGTTCTTAGACCAAGACACACATGGCATGGGCCACAGGCACCACTGCCACAGTGCCACGGCATGCGTGGGACCAGACCCAGATACCACACCTGCCACGCAGCACTCAGATCTCAGCACACAGAAGCAGTCTCGCCTCGAAAACAAAGCCCAGAGCTGCCCAGCAGTGACTGCACTGACCTTGATGGGGGAAGGAGAGCAGAAGCAGAGAGAGGAGGAAAAAAGAAAGAAAGAGGGGGAGGAAGAGGAAAAAGGAAAGGGGGAGGGGGGGCAGCAGCAGCAGCTGTCAAGACCTCAGGTCAACAGGTCCCTGATGGCCACACTGTGGGCCAGGTTCAAGTTGTGTGGCCGCCCCTCATCACCTGACAGTCTGCCGCTGTCCTTCCAGTTCAATGTGACATACTGGCAGATAAATCAATGGTTTTGTACACAGAGAAAGAAATACAAAAAGGAAATGCCCAAAGCGCAGCAAAAGAAGCGAGAAGCACAGCAAAAGACACGAGAAGCACCAGAAACAGTCTATGTAAACTGTTGTTGAGTGGGAGGCTAGAAGGAAGCAAAGGGGCCACTTCAACTTTGGGGATATTTGTATTCCCGTAGTTTTTGGGTTTGCCACAAAAAATTTTTTCAGTAGTGAGGACTAAACTCAGGGCCTTAGCACTGAGCAACATTCCCAACCCTCATGAACAATATTTAAATTTCGAGACAGGCTCTCACTAAGTTACTCAGGCTGGGCTCGAACTTGTGATCCTCCTGCCTCGCCTCTGGTGTACACTAGCACACCTGGCTTGTTTTTGTTCATTTAGCTTGCAGTGCTGGGGATCAGACCTCATCTACACTGGGCAGGTGTTCTAGCACTGAGCTACACCCTCACCCTCAGATTTTTATTGATTGTACTGAATTTGTTTCTTAGAATGTAAAAATGATGATTTGATTTTCCCTGTGTATAGTTGAAAACTCATGTGATTTGGGAAGGAATTAAGATAGGAATGATAAGGACTATTTGTTTTGGGTTTTTGAGACAGGATCTCTCTGTGTAGCTCAGGCTGGCCTCGAATTCACAGCAATATTCCTGCCTAAGCCTACCAAGAGCTGGGGTTACAGATGTGCTCTACAAGACAGTCAACAGCAAGAGCCACTTTAAATAGCAGTAGACTTGTATAGAACTGTTATATTTATGTGTATTTATGTACAGATTTTAATAAATGATGTCACTGGTGATGCTTAAAAAAAGGAATTTGGCAATCACTACCCATAATATAAGCCTTGTAAAAAATCTATTATTTATGGCTTTCAAAACTAAACAGGACAATGCTCGCTTCGGCAGCACATATACTAAAACTGGAACAATATAGAGAGGATTAGCATGGCCCCTGAGCAAGGATGACATGCAAATTTGTGAAGCATTCCACATTTAAAAATAAATAAATAAACAAACAGAACATAAACAGAAACTAAGGTTTTACAGTAAGAATAAAAAAATAAAGTTGAAAAATCTCTTCAAATACACAAGGCTTACATATATTTTGGCACTTTGACCCTTTCTAATAAAAAAAAAATTCAGTTGCACGATGTAATAATTTTCTATCATTACACATTTTAAACTTTTCAGCTTTTAGATATAATTAAACTATAATTCTTATATTAGAACTCCCATTTTTTTCTTTTTTTAAACCCCTTCCCTTATTCTAAATTGTTCACAGATTGTTTTTACTAAGAATTGTAACTGTGTTCCCAAGAATCTTATGTAGGTTGGTGGGAGAAATGGCTCTAAAACATATGATTTAAAATTTCACTTGCTTCTGTGACAAAGCAATCTAATAAGTGCAGGCAATGCATTACGAACGTAAAAACAGAAAATAATCATGTTCAAAAGAAGTGTTAAAATAACCCTGGCTCCACATACAGGAAAAGCACCTCATTAAAAAAATATAACCACAGGGCTGGGGAGTTAGCTCAGTGGTTCCGCTGCCTGCCTCAAAAGCACAAAGTCCCAAGTTCTATCACCTGTACCAAAAAAAAAAAAAAAAAAAAAAAAAAAAAATATATATATATATATACACACACACCAACACACACACACACACACACACACACACACACATCGGCACAGTAGCATGTGCCCACAAGCCCAAGTACTTGGGAGGCTGAGGTGGGAAAATCATTTGAGGCCAGGAGTTTGAGGCCAGCATAGGCAACCTAATGAAACACATACATACATACACACGTGTGAAATATGTGGCACTCTACCAAATTCAGTTATATAAAATAATTATGAAAGAATGCTTGCTGCAAGCATTTCCTAGGAAATGCAAAAGACTAACTTATGCATGGGATTTAGCATTTCAAAAAAAAGCCATCTGTGTTATTATTCTGAATTTTCTCCTCTGGTGGTACATGTGTTTTTTGGCGGGGAAGAGGTACCAGGGATCAAACTTGGGACCTTGTGCTTGCTAGGCAGGCAGCAGAACCACTGAGCTGAATCCCCGGCCTCTGGTAGCACACCTTTTAACTTCTGAGTCTAACTGTTTAAAGGATTGTATTTTAACTTCTGTGTTAACTAATCATCACAGCAGTTTAAGAACCTACCCCAATGTGGTCTCCCATCAGGCCCCAGGAGACCTCAAATTCACTGACTTAGGGAATTTTAATATTAACTCTTCTGTTCTTTTAACGTGATGATAAAATAGGAAGTTTCACTGTACTTTTTAAAGTACAGGCTTGAGATACCCACTATTTCTTTGGCGTATTGAAGAATTAGGAAAAACTTTTAAAGTTTTATGTCTTTTTAGTTAATTAAAAAAGAATCAGTTAATGGTATAGAGTACAGGGCCTGGCATCTTCTGGGGCATTAGAGGAATATAAAGTAAGACTGCTGCCAAGCACAAGTGTTCTGGATAAAATGATGTCACTTGCTAATTACCAACTTCAAAAGAACTACCATATTTATTTCATGTTATCTCTACACTGAGGGTAATGTAATAATCCTTGAGGATACAAACCCTTCCACCAAAGACCCTGATATGAACAAAAACGATGGGCACCACTCCCCAAACAGTGACAACTGCCCCTCTCTGAGGGACAGCAGCTGAGGTGATGACACTTTGCCAGGCACCACCATGAGAAGGCATGGTCCTTCCTCACCTCCGTGGTTAATAGGAAAAAGCCTCCTGATGCAGTCATCAGGGCTCTAACATACCCTCCTGGCAGTGACAGGGACAGAAATCTGGATCTCCAAGGACCAAGGAGCAAACAGGTGGCCCTGCAACAGCCAGTGACAGTACTGAGTGGGTGTGGCTGGATGGGAGAACCTAGGATGGCAGGGACTGGGAAAGGGTCCATTTCACCAAACCACAGGCCCATTTCTCCAGCACAATCTACAAACACTCTTGAGGGCCAAATGGTGAACTGTTTCTCCTGCACAGTAACAAGCAAGAGTATGGACAATCAGGAGCAGGGTGGGGGCTCCTCCCCACTTCTGAGGGAGGGAGGACCTCTCCCGAGGAAAACCGGGCTCCTTGTTACACTGCAGGGCCTGTCTGAAGGGGACTGGAGGTGAGGCGACAGACAAGAGGCCAAAAGGCCTGCTGCTTCATAGCTGAAAGAGGTAAGGGCCGCCTGTGCAGCAAGCTACCCCCGGGGGTCTCAGTGCTGAAGCTACTCGGACTCAGCAGGAGCAGCTCCGAATCCCCTGCAAATGTGGCCGGGGCAGCTCCCTTTAAATATCTCTGAACAATAGGCCTGAGTCACAGAGAGCAAGGAAAAAGGCAGCCTGCAACCCTCCAGTTCAGAAGCTGGCTGCTGAAATGGCTGAGAATGTGCCACTCAACCTTGGGAGAAGGCTTCACAAACCCCCGTCTACTCAAATCAGCAATTCTTTAGAAGACCAGCGGCTCTTTGCAATAAAACAGTGCAAAAGCAGAAGGACACCTACCCCACAAGGCAGCACACAGGATCTCGGAGTTAAACCTCTTCTTGTATTTACGAATCTCAGGGGTGTCGCTCTGTGGCCTAGTATTGGTGGGGTTCACATTGACCACTGAGCCTTTCCGGGTAGGATCCTGCCTTATGGCTTCTGGTCTCATTCCATCACAGGAAAATCCCACTGCAACACAGGATGTGGGAAGTTATGCTACACACACACACACACACACACACACACACACACATCACACCTGACTCCCCCACTGTCACAACACTCAGGGAAACACTCACAGGCCATAACTGACACTGTGTCCTGGAGAAGACATCCCCAAAGAAATGTGAGTAGAAAAAGGAAACTGACTGTGCAGCTCACTGCAGGGAAAGCCAAGGGAGTGGGCAGAGGGCTCTGCACCCAAGGCCTGGCCTATGGCCCACTATGCCATGCTAAGCCACTGGAGAGCAGTGCAAAGCAACCCAGCCCTAAGTGTTGGCTGCTTTCCTGTTGCTACTGTACTTACCCACAGAAGTCACTGTTGTCCCGCTAGATGGAGAAATCTGTAGTAATCTGGGGTCTATAAAAGGTGTAAAGGAGGAGGAAGATTTGTGTTTCTGGAGTGTGCTACTAGCGGACTGAGTCTGCAATGTAAATTTCAATTTCATTAATACAAACAGCATTTCAAAAGTGAACATTAAAAGAACATTCCAGTCCACTGCTAACCTGCACTAGTTCGCAATCCCAACCCTGTCCTTCCTGCACCGGACCCCAGTAACTCTGCAGGGAGCTCCCACAAGGGCACAGTGCACCCCAGCAGGCCACAGCCCCAGCTCCCAGGTGAGCCACACCTGCTCTGGAGAGATGAAAATCTAGACAGTGACTGCAAGCCGCCAAAGAACATCTACACTTAGGCTTCTAGCTGTTTATTCAATTAAATAAAAGACTGTAAAAACCTACAGGACATATGCAATATCTTAACTGCCTTAATTCACTAATTTCTGAATTTACTCTTCCAACTCCCAAAGCCCAATGACTATGTTGGAATAGTGGCAAATCTTCACTTTGTTTAAATTGAGCCTCTTGCCAGAAAGCTACAGAAGCTTTGGCTACCACTGTTTTAAGCACATGACACCATAAACCCATAGCAAACAGGAGTTCATTAGTGAAATGTGCAAATGACAACACAAGGCAGATCTCTGATCTCTTAGGAGCACTAGTGTTTTGATTAATAATGTAACTTAAAAAAACAAAGAAAGTGAAACAAACTGTTAAGTGGAAATGTAATGATGATTAAAAACAATACAAACAAAAATAAATCTGCCAGTTTAGTGAGTTAAGGGTTATAGTAAAATATAGTAAAATGAAGCAAAGTGCAAAGTAAAAATATAAGGAGGAATGCTGAGTGTAGAAGGGATATATACAGTATCTTGGGAGGAAAAACAAGCACTTCTGATTGAGTGCTTTGGTCCCGGACCATTTCACCCTCCGGGAGCACCAGAAGCCATCTGCCCTGCAGCCCAGTCCCCCTAAGCTCCCTGCTGAGCACTCTGAGCACGCGGGCTTCCCTCCCTGTGCGTACACCCATCCGTGGCCCGCCTGGGAAGCAGTCAGCTTGCACCTGCTCCTCAGGTGGGGAGGGTTTCTGATTCTTTCTAATGAGGGAACCATAGAAGGAGCGGCTGTCAGTTCAGTTTGGTGCATACATTAAGACAGGCTGAAGCTAGAGGTCAGCCTCAACCTCCCTCAACTTTTGGCTACATGGATAGGAACCAAATTTCCTGTGAATCCCAATGCCTTGTTTCATCAAGGACAGGGTGCTCAAGGCGGGCAGGACCCATCTAGGACCACCTAGCTCACACCCAGCCAGCAGCACAGCCACAACCACCACCACAGCTTTTCCCACACAGAACCGAAATCAAAGCATGCTCACACCTTGGTCCTTGCTTAACACCCCTAATCTCCTGCGTTTCCCTCAAAAGCACTCAGCCTCTTAAAACTCTGAGTGTGAATTTCAAAGAAAGAAATTCTTTTTAAAGTGTTGGTGAAAATAGGAGTAAAAAGCCAAGAACTACCCCCTAGGAAAAAGAAAGAGGAAAACACACACACACACACACACTCCAATCTTGTTTGAAGGAAATTCCTGTAAAGGGTAAAAAACTTGTGTGGGTAAAGGCCAAGTCCAGTTAACAAAATTTTAACTGGATAAAAAGAATGAAAACGGGTAGATTCCACAGATGACTATAAGAATTTCATGCCAAATATATAATGAATCTGAGAACACAGCAATCACTATTTAGATTTTTAAAAATTGAATAAAGAAAGCCATGCAACTACACTTGTCTAGAGAAAGAACACAGTGAACTGGCAAGTTTGGGGGAAATCGATCTGAGGTTAAGGGATTCATATGCAGATCTGAAACATGTTACTGGGGGGGGGGGCAGGGTTTGAGAGAAGAAAGCAGGAGGGCAGGGTGGGTGCTGGAAAGGTCTGCTTTGCAAACCAGCTCCTAGGCAGTGCTGCTCTAACCCAGGAAAGCAGCCAGCTGTGGTGCGAGACATACCTCATTAGCAGTGAGCTTGTCCTGGGGTGTCTGTGGGGACATGGTGGGTGTCGGCTGGCTGGAGGATGGGGAGGAAGAGGTGGAGGAAGTGGAGGAGGAATGGCTTTGCTGTAAGAGATCTGGCAAGAGGTGAATGCGGCCGGCAAAGCCATTGCTCTCATGATGGCTGGCACGCTTTTGGTCAACTGTACTCTGTAGAAAAAACAGGCACACTGGTCTCGCTCAAGCGCTGCTGACATTGCCTATGCCCCTAACATTAGCTGCTTGTTTAAGGTGCTATACGACTTTTCGTACTCTGCTCAATTACCAAGGAGAAACCAAGGAATTGGCCTGAATGCTCACACTGCCTGGCCAAATGCCCAAGTTCTACTTCCAGAATTCAAAGAATCCCAGCTGGGGGCTGCACACCTGAAGCTGAGAGGGTCACTGCTCCCTCATGGTGCTGGGTTCTCAGCACGCCACTGCCCCTTTCTGCCTCCAGCTCTAAGGACCCAGTAGCTCCTGTGAGTCCTGATCCTTCCCATGCCCTTCCTACTTTCCAGCGAGGGCATTGCTGGAGCAGGAGTCCCACTCAGGGCAGAGGCCCCGCCACTAGCAGGAGCCTGTCCTCCCTCTGAGAGGATGGTGTCACTTAGATAAAGTCTAAGATAAGGATGAACAGACAGCTGTCAAACTCAGTGATCCAAACTGATCTGGTGGCACATGCTGAAGTCTTCAGGAAGGGGAGCCAGCTCATGGGGGGCACAGGAGAGACCTTCAGCCTGTGCCCCGAGGCTCTACGGGGCCAAGGGAGGCCTGTCCTGCCTGTGAGGTTGCCATTACACCCTTCGGACACGGGGAGCTAGGCTTCTGGGAAGAGCCCCGGGCCCTCTAACTGTAGCTCCCTGGCTTTTCTACCACTCAGACATGGACTGTAAGACTCAGCGAGGTGCTGGGATGAGGGCTGCTGAAGGCATGCAGGGAGCAGCAATGTAGATGGAGACTACCGGCTACCCTGGTGGCATGCAGCAACGCACCTGCTTCCCTGCCCTGGCCACGATACCCTCGGGGCTGTTAACATGAAAACAGATGATGATGGAGAAACAGCGTGAGTGAGTGGATGAGCAAGTGGGTTAATGACTACAGGAGCAGCTCAGCCTCTGACAGCACACTGGAGACATTAGGTACCTGGCGCACGATCAGTGTGCCCTCCTTGGAGGGCGTCAAGGCCGGCTCACTTTCCACATCGTCGTGGACAATCATGGTTTTTACGGACTCCGTTTCACCATTGCTCAAATTCAGAGATGACCTATTGGGACGAGATTTGGGATGAAAGGCCTGGTCCCAGGAGCAGAGGACATGCTGTTCAGTCCTGAGAGAAGGCTACGACCCTGAGGACAAAGTTTCCTCAAGGAAAGCAAGGGCGTGGCTTTTTCCCTTCCACAAAGAATTCAAAAATGAGTACTTATTGGTTAATTCAGGTGGTTGCACCAAATTGGAATTTCCCCTTTATCTCATCCCTAATCAAAATACAAAGCTCATGCTGGGGGAGCGCAGTCCTATGCACACAGCAAGATGGGACACACCACAGCTGTCTGTAGCTGAGTCTAGGAAGACCATGCACTAATGCTCACAGGTTTGTGTGACCATGTAGGGACAGCCAGTGGGTGGCCCGCAGTGAGGGGTCAGGGGACCCGCCCTCCTCCCTCCAGTACACAAGGACTGACGCTGCTCTGGTGTCCTCCAGCCCTGAGGCACACTCCTCAGCCCCATCTTGCTCCCCTTCATCTTCCTCCTCATCTGTTGTCCCAGACTCCTCGCTGGAGGATGAGTAGTCGGTCACTTTGTGGGGCGGCCGCACGTCTTCCACCGCGCGGAGCTCTTTGGCCAGTGCAGTCAGATCCTGAGACACAGACAGGACAGAGAAGAGTCAGCCTGGGCCAGTTCGAGGACACCAGGAACAACAGGAAGTCCTACACCTAACTGAAGCACACAGCCGCAATGCCATCTTTCTAAAGCTGTTTAGTATTTGCCAGTTTCATATAAAGGTGAGCTTTTACAGGTAGTCAAATAATCAAAAGACAGATTTTTAAAAGAACAAAAAACCCCAAACAAACAAACCAAAGATGATGCAGTCAATTCAAATCTCACAGTGACCCAGCAATCTGCTTATGATACACTGACAGCATGCTTCTGTTTTCAAATACAAGGTAAAATTCTATATCCAAAACTATATAGACAGACTACTGGCCTTCAGTGTAAAGATAATAGCATATATTACAAAAATTTCTTTTAGGGGAACTACAATACGTAGGAAACAAACTTCTACTTAAAACAGGTTGGACTGAAACCTTTTAAGTTTTCCTCCAAAAATTCCAGGTCTACACAAGGGTGCCCCATGTGGTGGACTTCGCGGCTGCCTGGCTCAGCCTTGGTCAGTGAGAACATGAATAGGAAGGAAAATAATCCCTACTAAAAGTGACTCGAAAGGGCTTCACTGCTTCACTGCCCTTCATTCCTTCTTACTGAGATACTTTAAGATTCCTATCAATTTACTGAATATAATGTAAGAAGGAACCTGGGTGTGGAGGCCCACGCCTGTAATCCCAGCTCTTTCGAGGCTAAAAAAGGAGGACTGCTGTGAGTTTGAGGCCAGCCTGGGCTACATATTGAGTTCAAGGCCAGCCTGCCTTACATAACAACAAACAAACAGCATGATTGTTATTTACATTCTGTATTTTCAAACAAGCCCAAATTCCATCTTTCAACTTGAGAATTCTATTTAAAAGTAATTATTTCTTTTAAAAGGCTATGTAGCCTTTTCTCTTATTTTTAGCAGTTCCAAGGCAATTTTCTTTTCTGCTACAGCTGAGGATACGTTTATTGTTAGCATTTGCACCTGTGATAGTAAGGATCAAGTGTGAGGTCATAAGTCTTTCTAAATACTTAATGTTTACAACTGTGGCTTTCTAAACAACTGTTCAAAAAAGCTAATTTAATAATAATGATGAAGATAATAAATGCAGCATATTTTATTCATACAGCAAGTGAAGTCAGAGCTTTCAGGGTTTTAAGCCGGAGGTGCCAGGGGAGGGCAGCTGAGGAAGGGGAAGGCAGCTGTGCAGGGGCGGGGCCAACTTACCACTTCACTCTGGAGGACCCAGCAGGTCAGGTGTCCGGAAAGCACAGACAGGGAGAGCGAGGCAGGAGGAAGCCAAGGGGGGAGTGAAGATATCAGTTCAAGCAGGAAATCAAAGCTCCAACAGGCTTAAAATCCCACAACCCATGTAGTTACTCGGTCAGTTATGTGACAGGGAGCAAAAGTATGAGGGACCAAGAGGCAAAACTTAAGCAGGTGATTTTAAAAAATTTATTCTTTGCTGGTACGGTGGTGCATGCCTGTAAACTAGCTCTCTGGGAGGCTAAGGCAGGAGAATTACAAGTTTGAATCCAGTCTGGGTAGCTTAGCCAAAGCCTATCTCAAACTAAAAAATTTTTAAAAGGACTGGGGATATAATTCAGTGTGGAGGACCTAGGTTCAATCCTTACTACCACTTGAAAAGAACAAAAAAACTTCCTAAAAGCCAGTATTGTAAATGCCTAACCCTTCAAGAGTAAGCTAATGCACTTTAAAACAATGTTAATGTCAAGCAAGGGGATAAAAAGGCTTTTCTTTCTTTTGTAGTTTGTTTCCTTGTAAGGAAATTTCATCAGTAAAAACTACCCCTTTCTGTTTCTTTGTAAAGCACTGACACACCGTATGGTTATAATGCTAGAAAGTTTTCATTCCACTGAGGACTTTTCCCAGGAAGTAAGATGCCAAAGGAAGACGACACAGAAGTGTCTGGGTACAGGACGTTCCCTAAGGTTCCCCTCATCTAGGAGGTGCCAGCAGCGAGAGCTGTAGGTCTCGCTACCTTTTTCTTCTTTTGGTCTTGCTGGGGATTGAATCCAGGGCCTGGTGGCAAGTGCTCTACCACTAAGATATGGTCCCAGCCCCTCAGCCATGTTTTTAATAGAAAGATCTTACTCAAGCCAGAAATAAGATAGATTTGTGCAGTCCTTACAGCAGGCTTGAGAGGTCTAAACACTTCTTTCTTATCCTCAGGTTTTTTTGCTGCATTTTCAAGACGCTGAGATGGAGAGCCTTCTGACTTAGAGGACGCTGTTAAAATAAGAGACACGAAAAGCAGACACATTAACACAGATATGTGTCACAGAGCTACCCCAGCCCTCCTGGCTGTTTTTTCCCTCTTCTACTGGCCGCTCTCATGCAGGTTTGAATCCCAGGGAGTAGGGGGACCCAGGGGTGCTCTGCAATCTCCCCAATGTCCTACTTAGCCTCCTGCACAGCATACTCTGTTCGACATGTCTCCCAATTTACACCCCATTATATCAAGAACACAGCAGAGCAGCAAATCATCTGTAACCAATATGGATGACAGCATAGGCCCTGGAATCCGTCCTGGGAAAAACAAGTTCAAATCCCAGCTCAGACCTTTCGTGAGGACCTCTGGCACTCAATTGCAGAATGCTCACAGTGCTAGACGAGTGTAAAACTCTCTGGACTTCACCCCTCTGGTTAAAATCCCACTGTGATTAGCAATCTAACTAAAATGTCATTTTGTGAAATGCAGCTACATGCACCCGAGGGCCCTCTTTAGAGAATAGTGCATTAGGCCAACACATGGATCTGCATAGGAAGGGCCAAAGAGCGCAGCTCACATCTCACTCGGAAGCGCTCTCCAGACCCGCTCTGAGACCCAGCGTGGGATCCCGGTTGCGATCCGGAGTTGCTGGACCCAGAGGAGCTGCCACTGCCTGGCCTGGGCACCAGCTTCTCCACTCTCTCCCACAGGAGCCTCGGCTCGATGCTGCTGTTAGGAAAGGTGAAAGAACAGTTACGCTCTGCCTCAAGACGCAGTGCCAATCACAAACGCATATATGATATGTCCAATGCAGGGAGGAGAAAGCAGCCCATAAACAGCATCTGACATTAAACCCACTAAAGGTTATGATGACATCATTCATGGATTTTAGCTCAGATATCCTAACAAACCCTAATATCTTTCCATTAGCACACCTAAAGTCCTCATTAAGTATGTGACAAAACAAGACTACTCCATCTAGATACTAGTCACTTCTGGGACAGCCTCAAGCTCAATATTGAGTTTAATATTATGAAAATAACTACACTGGTGCAATCACATGTGTCATCATCTTCTCATCCCACCCTTTCCAAGTCCTCTCCTTTGAAGCTGTGTGAGGATTGTTCCAGAAAGTTAGACATGTGTGGGTGAGAACTCCCACAGAGATGCTCACAGGAGCACCCCACAGGCTCCTGGCTATCAGCTCCTGGGGCCTTCTGCAACTGCCAGGTTCATGTCCAGATGCCAGCTTCCCAATGTACACAAGGCCAGCTCCAGAGGTTCAGTAGTGATCAAGTTACAAAACATCCAACAGAAGTTTCTTCTTCCCTAGGACAGGGTGGCAAATGTAGCACTCTACATGGTGCGCAGGAGTAAAGTGTTCAATTTATTTCATTTTAATTAAGTTAAACTCAAACTTAAGAAGCCTCATGTGCCTGACAGCACCTGGACTAGACAGAGCTGCTCTAGAACCTGGAAAAGGTATTACTTGGTTGACTTACTAGTCCACTGCAGGGCTTTCAGCAGCCACTGACTTTCCTCAGCACCCTATCTGTGATTATAGACTAGTCCAAGGCCTTATAACTTCCTCTAAGACAGAAAGCTCTGTCAGATTTCAAGTCTCTCTGAACCTCTCCACTCCCACCAGCCTCTACACTAACTGCTAGAGATGGGAAGTTTTTGCTTCCAAATTACTACAATAGACATCTGGAAACAAACTCTTCTTACTACAGATCAACCTGACATATTATTCACATGGATGGACTGTAACTGTCCTTTAAAGAAATGCAATGGCTCATCTCTTTGCGCTGGGGGACTTCAGCGTTTGTGACCGTTCATCAGAGTGGAGACAGCACAGTACCCTGCTCCTACCCCTCCTGCCTCCTTACCTGGTAGAGTTTCTCTGTCCTGCTTGGCTGTTTTGCTGTCCACTGCCCTGCAGCGGGGAATCTCGACGGGACAGGACAGGGGAACGAGACGTTGTTCTCACAGGAACCTTTAAGTAGAAAATACAGGAATTAAATTATCACAAATCTCTAGAGAGCAAAGATCTCCTCACTGAAACATATTTTTAAAACAGGCCCTGCTCTTAGCTCCAGCCCACCCATCCCAGACCTCCAATGATACAAGGGGAGAAAATTTAGCCCAAGGCAGCTGAGGAGCCAAGACACACAGCCTTTCTATGCTCCCTGACATGCCAGTGACGTAGGCACTGATGCTGGTAGCAGGGGACATATAGGAGCACTTTGCTGAGATAATGTGAGAATTGGGAAAATAAGCTCAAAGAAACCACAATAATCTACAAATGGATTGGCTGGAAGCAGAGACTGGCGCAAAGCAAGAAAATATTTGGAGGAGGCAAATTCCAAGTACAGAAAAAAAATACACTAAAAATATGCCCGTTGTATAATTTCATTGTTAAGTAACTAGTTAAAAAAAATCCCTTAATTTAAAAGGGAAAAACATTTTTCTTTGAGATTTTCCCTGTAAGACCATTCCTGAAAATTGGTATTAATGTGTAAAATAATAGCTTCTTTATAAACATATGAATTATGACTTTGCTTGCTGCAGAAGCATATTCTTACAGCTTTCTTCTCTTAAACCATTTTGCTACTCTATATTTTAAGCACAGCATTAATAAGAAGCTAATTGGCCACTGGCTACTTCCAACTGCATAACTGTGGAACCTCCTCTCCACTATAAACAGTTCTCTGAACCCCATGGCCCCTTTAATTCGGAAGACATCACCATGCTTATAATTCCATCAATCATATTTAGAAATGACAACAAGGCAAAGGCAGCGTGGCATGCCTGTCTGTCTGCTCCTTACCCGTGGAGGCACCTCGTCACTGTCTGATCTAGACCATGCCTTTGGGGTAGGATCGGGCACCTCCGACTTAGGGTCGGGGCTCTGACTGAGCACCTCATTGCGGGAAGGCGGACATGGGTCCTGAGAACGAAGATGGTGGTGTGCGAATTTGGGAGGAGAAGGATCGCTGAAGGAATGGGATCGCGAGACAGGGGAAACATTGTTCTTGAGAGATGCCAGGTGGGACCACTGTACCTTACGAGAGAACAAAACACAAACATTCAATGCAGTCTGCAGAAAATACCGAATCCAAAGCAGGAGGTGACAGAGGTGTAATGCAAACTGAGGGCAGTGCAGCACTGGGGATGAACAGGGCAGGGACTCAGTAAGGGGCTGGGCGCAGAGGTGGTCTGGGGACACGGCAGGCAGGAAGAAACGAATGCACACTGACAGGAAACTGCTCATGTTCAGACAAACACTACAGAGCAGCAAGTGCGGAGATTGGCAGACTCTCTGAAGGGAGACAATGAGTATGTACGTGTCCACATCAAGGCGGAAAAATTGCAAGATAAAGACATTGCCAAACAGGCAAAGCTGCCCGCCATCCTCACGTGGGAATGGGGAGTGTGAGGTTGCCAAGAAACAGCCACCCAGTTAGTGAACAAAGACAAAGCCCTCGGGCTTCAACAGACTGTAACAGTGTGACTGAATACAGTCTGAATAGCCAGTGTTTCAAATACACCAATGATTTTTCTCTTTTCTTCCAAGAAAACACTTGTAACCTAGACATATTCAGAACTTTCATCATGAAAAAAACATTCTCATCTCTTTAAAATATTCAGTATCATGACATTTGTCAACTGACTGCTGTTAACTTGACTAAATTTATCACTGGAATTCAAGAAATATGATAAAATACTTGTTCAACACTGCAATTTACACAATTCTAGCTATATACCTATTACGCTGATGTATTCAACAAAAACATAAAATACCAAATCATGATGTGTTTTAATGTGAAACATACAGACTTAGTTCCAGGTATATGATTTCTATGATTTTCAGATGAGATTCAAATAATTTCACTATTTGGTATAGTTCCAGATGTCCAACATGTTTAAGATTTTTTTGGGGAAAACATATAAATGAAAGTATTATCTAAAATTATAATGGGACTTAAAATATAGTCCCATGTGAGTTAAGTTTTCCACAAAGAATGTTCCAAAGGTGTATGTTTTAGCCAAAAGCAACTTCCAAATCACTGGGGGAAAGGGAAGACTATCTCTAGGTACCACATTAATTAATCTTGAGCTGACAAGACCCAGGAACTCCACGTTCTACAGTCAATAGCCAAGCAGAAAGAGATTTTCTTTGTCTTAACTCTAACTTCCAAAACAAAAGCTTTTGTCCTGCACTCTTTAAATCCACCTGTATTGGTCAACAATGCAAAGTTGTCAAAAAAATAAAAGCCTATTCTGCTGGCCTCTTTACTTTTTCCCTCTCCTTTCCTCTTCCTGTCTTTTTCTTTCCACTGCTTACTCTACAGCCACTTGGCTGTGGACAGTCCAGGTGTCCTCCTGTGGACAGTCCAGTCCAGTGGCCACTCCTGTGTCAATGCCCTTGCCCCACACCCCCCAGCCTGAGCCCTGTCTTTCTGTTGACCCCTCCTCCCTGTAGGTCCCACTGTCCAAGGGCACTGTGGACTATACAACTGGTTCCCATCCTCTTGCATCTGTTTTTCAGAGCACCCCTGCTACTCCTGCCTCAGGAAAACGAGCTTTTGTTCCATCCACACAAACAGCAGTAACTGGGACACCCAAGGCTCAGGAATCTGTACCCAACAACACAGATTACCCAGTATCGAGGAAGAAATCCTTATGACCATTGTCTCAGTGTGTTAAGGTTGTCTGTGACCTCAGGCTGGGCGATCCCTGCTGTGATCCTGTCCAAGGCACAGCAGCCTCACTGTTAATCACTGCCACACTCAACCAGTGGGTACCCTCCCTCAACGGGACACAAGGGCGCAGCAGACCAAGGCGTGGCCATGACCTTTGCCCTGACCCTCTTGGAAACCCATACCTAACTCCTGGATCATGCTGTTTTGGATTTGAACCCCTCCAGAATTTGATAAATGGGCCCTTTCCCAGAAAAATATGCACATTTAGACAAATCAAAAAATTCTGCATAGAATTTCTGGGAGCTCCTCCTTGGCTCTTTCAGGCCCTTTCAAATAATTGGCCTGGACCAGAGATCAAGGGTGGAGCTCTATGTTTACAGTGCCAGGAAGAAGAGGTTCTGCTTCCCCTCTGCATGCTTGCAATAGTAACCCTCTAAAAACTCAGCTACAAAAATGTTTGTTTTAGGAAGAGGCGCTTTGCATCTGAGTTAGGGAAGGCAAAAACTTAAGAGGAATCACAGACCAAACATTCTTATTGAGTTCAAAAAAGATCCTCCCTTCCCTGAAACTGAGCCTGCCCTCTCTGCCTCTAGCCACCCCGAGCATCTCCTTCCTTCTCCAGTAATACCCGATCCACTGCTGTCAGTCATGGTCACGAGCAGGCCCAGCCCGAGAGTCTCTCTCTGTGGCCAGGCCAACTGCGCTACCTGTGGCTCCGCTGATCTCTGCAGGGCGGGGTGCACAGACTCGGAGTTGCCATTGGAAAAAGACTCTGACCGGGAAGGCACTGGAGGCTCCAATACTCTGCCTGTTTGCTTAGCCTGGGCTTCAGGGGAGTTGTGGTTAGTTTTCCTAAATCTATCTTCCACCTGCATCGGAGAATTAGGAGACAGAACTCTGGGTTAGTAGGGAAAAGAAAGCACAGATGCTGAAGCAAGCCTGAATGTGGAAGAACTCTAAAAAGTCTCCCATTTCTTTCAGCTACAGGAGAGAGCCTGCAGGGAGAACGGGCAGAGAAAGTGGGGCTAGGATCCGATTCAGGAAAAAGAAAACACTTATGAAGGCAAAATTAAGCAAGGGAGCCTCGAAGATTCCCTCTATGCCCTGAGTCTGGGGACTGTATACAATGAAATTACCCAATCTGTCACAACCAGCTAAATCAACAGACTAAAAGATGATCATCGGGAATCCAAAACATGCTTCACCAGTCCCGCCGGAAAAGCGTCTGGACAAGCAGCACATTGCTGGCTGGAGAGCCTGCTCCCAGGGAGGGCCAACATGGCATAGGGGCACCACCTACAGGCCAGGGTGACACAAGTCGGAGAGACCTCAGCCCCAAGGGCCGGCCACCTGCACAGGAGCATTTGGCCACATCCTATAACAGAGGGGACCAAACCCACATTTTATCTTCCTACTAGTTTTGGACAATGAGTGAAGCAGACCATTTACATTTTAGAAAATGATTCTGCCACACAGTCTTCTGAGACTTGTCCATGAGGCACTCATGCTGGTCTTTGTGGGAGATACACTAACTAGACAGGAGAGCTGGGGTGAGTCCTCCACTAGCTGGAGACAACCCCACACCCACTCTTGTCAGCAGCCATGCACGGGGCTCAGAGCACCCGACACAGAGCCCGGCCAGGCACGGGAGGAAGCAAGTACCTCTCGGGCTCTGTCCGCAGGTTCGTAATGTGGCTTGGGCTCAGGAGCATGATAGCCCGGCTTGCTCCGCTCCTGCTGCGGTGGGGGCTGTGGCGGCTGCGGGTGCTGCGGGTGCGGCCTCCGGTGGTCGTGCTGTAGAGACAGGAGATATGCTTGTTCTTGTTGCAACTGCCTCTGGAGCCTCTCTGCCTGTCGGTGCTCCTCCATCTCCCGCCAGCGGCACTCCTTGGAGAGGGAGAGAACACTGAATCTACGAGCACTGGAGAGCGAGCTCACCCCTGCTCCAGATTCGCTCGTAGCTTTTTCTTAAACACAATGCATTTCCCCCTACTTTATAACAAAGCAAAACAGCTAGGATTTTAAGTAGCATTATTACCTGCGGAAAAATCTCACAGCTCTTGCTAACTATGACACCACTGGTCAGAGTGAGAGAGGACTGAATTCAGGTGGGTTTCAGTGCACATATACTCAAACTCCTACTGCATGAGCTTTGATGCTGCAGCCTTAGCATTCTAGTGCGCTCACCGAGTTCTGCTCTAAACCTGCCTACCTACCGGATGAGAGTGGTCAGCTGGCTAGCAGGACGTACATGAATAAACAAGAGCCACTTTGCACTCCGCTCGAGCTGTATGACCAGAGAGATGTCTCACTTCGAGCCTGGTCACTTACAACAAAACCAAAAGGGCCTGTGATCACCAGAGCGGACCAACTCAGGGGAGGGACAACCAAGCTCAAGCCCTAGTGCTAGGGAACAGGACAGAGGCGGGGCGTTACCAGTAACATGGCCTGCTCCTGGAGCAGCTGCTGCTGAAGGATTTCCAAGTGCCGCTGCTCCTCTTCTAGCTGTCGCCTGATATACTCCTGTCACACAGAAATTACCCAGCGATCAATTTATCCCAAAGGAAAGCATCATAACCACCTGCATGGAGCACCACAAGCCATGGCCCCATCATCTTAGCAGTGAATGCCTCATCTACAAACAATCCACTGTTAACGATTCCCCCAAGAGTTTCAAATTGGATGGTAGGACCCAAAAAGTCTAATGCATTCCAAGGATACACCCAGAGGCTTTTGAAGCACTTCTGCTGTGACATCACTGTCAGATACCACGCAGAATTTGAAAGGTGGAGCCTTGGAAGGATGGCAGACTCCAGAGAAATTAGTTCAGTTACAAAGGACTAGAAGGTTCTGACTAGTAAACACCTACATTTTAGTTATTTCAAACAAGCATGGATCACCCATTTTTGAAACTTTAAACCAAAACCTATTTAATATTTTTTTTAAAAACCCCACAAACATGATTTGTGCTTTCTCTGATGACTCAGAATGTTCCTGGAATGATGATGTTCTGCAAGCTAAGGTCTAAGGAGACCACATGTGGGCAATTCCCTTCCAATAAATAAGCCTGGGTTCTTGGTGACGAGCTCTCATGTTTCTGTGTATGCATGTGTGTGCATGCATGCATGGAGCACAAGGGTGGTTTTGTCCAATGAGAAGAATGATCAACTCACTAACAATGAAAACAGGCATGCACAGTCAAAATATAGTATGCAAAGAGGCAAAGGGCCTACCTTGAAGTTGTGTATATTACATGGACAAGGAGATCAGGAGGCCTTGACCCCAGGTCACTGAGGACCAGCTCTATGACCCCACTGCACACTCTCAACCTCCCACTTGCTCAGTCTCCTTACTTGAGAAATAATCATCAGAGATCTTTCCCAATGCTCAGGGTGTTTGTGTGAGGCTCAAACAGGACAGAGATATGAATTAACTTTAAACAACAAGAAATGAGAGAACAGTATAAAATAATTTTAAAGAGCAAGAAACATTTTATAGTAAAAGATTCATTCTTTTTTGACAAGGAAAAAAGTTAACTTCTTGCCCTAGAAGGGGAAAAGACTAAGGGCATGCTGAGAAATTTATCCTGAAATTTTATTATAACTACTGCTGTCCATCCTCTTGTTTCATACACACCATAATATAAAAATGGCCATAGACAAAAGCTGGAGAGTTTAAATCAACCAATAATTCCGGTTAGGAGAATATTGGACAATACAGAAATCATGACGTATAAACACCCTTAGAAATCTTTATCTTACAAAGCAAATCAAGCCCAAAAAGCCTCTGTGGGGAAGCTTATTCACAAAGCCACTCACAAAGACCCCTGGCTCTGACCTGGCTGAGTACCTTTCTTTACTCCTGACCCTCCAAGACTGTGAGATGCTAAATAGCTGCTGTGCGGCCGTTACCAACCACACTGAGAAAAGGAGCCTGACTCACAACTTATTTCTTCTTTAAAAAAAAACAACAAACAGAACTTTATCCTAACCCGAAAAATCAGGTTATACTCATATATTTTCTGCCTTTATGTCACAGGGACAGCTGGAAAAATCACATCCTATCCAAACTGCAAAGGTCCCAACATACAATGAACATACTACATAGAACACCAAGTAAAGCACACAGATAGATACACTTTTGCAGGAAGGAGACGTGTGCTGCAGCACTGTTAACATGGGAATTACTGCTCTGTAATGGACAAAGGAAAGCAGAGTAAAACTGACTTTGTTTTTGTCAAAGAGGCACAGAAGACTTGCTATTCACAAAATCTAATTGCCACTTGAGCTCTGAAGATGGAGAACTACCACCAAACCCTCCTGTTACAATCAAAAGATGAGAACTATCCCTAGGTGATTTCTTATAGACTGGTACAGTATTTTCCTCTCTCTGCAGCTGCCAGGTAAGAACATGAGCAAAATGTTACACACACACACATACACACACCACAGTTAACTAGTCAACAATGTCAATAAGGTAATGGATTAAGAGTGGCACTGAAATTCCCAGGAAAACACCAGTGAGCATGCACACCCACCCAAGTCCCAGAAACCCAAGGCCCATGACCGGCATCACAACAGTGGTTACAGTCGCACGCAAGTTATCACTATGGTGTGGAAGTGTGTTAGCAAGAATCCCAACTAGCATTGAAACTGGTCCCCATTTGGATTGTTTTCTTCTCTATTCAAAGGTCAAGACAGAGTGGTCAATTCAAACACAAGAAAGGCAGTGAGGCTGGGCATCGTCTACTTTTTGTTTACAAGGGTGGTTCAGGAAACAGAAAATTTGTAAGTAAAACTGTACTTGTGCATAAATATCATTAAAACATGATCTTTTCTGGCCGACTCATAAAATGTTAGTAGTTTTTAAATGCTGTCCATGTGTGTATGTGTGCACAAACACATTATAATATTCACTCAGCCACTGGATATTCCCTGTATTAATCATTAGAAAATTCTTGCAGTTGATCTTTAACTTCCTTCTCAAAGAGTGTTTATTACCACCCTGATATTTGAAGTTTCAGAACATTTACACCATGGGTGGAGAACATATTCAGGGATCTTTCAGGTGATACTATTTGGAGACCACTCAGCTGATGTCAAGACTTTCTCTAGTGTGATGATTCACAGATCTTTTTTTCAGTTTCCTGGTAGGCTCCTGATGTGTTTCAGCACTTTAAATGCCTGACGTCCTGGAAGTGAATGTTCCAGTGTGCACACACACGTGCATACCTGCCCTGGAGCACCCAGCTTACGGAGTCAAACTTCACAAGTGGAGTGGTAGGATCTTTCTCTTCAAACTCACCTGCTCTCTTTCCACACGTCTCTTCTCTTCCTCTGCCCGTCTCCTCTCTTCTTCTTCTTTACGCCTCCTCTCCAGCTCTTCTAGACGCCTCTTCTCCTCCTGTTCTCTCCTTCGCTGCTCCCGTTCCTGCTGCCTCCTAACCTCACGCTCTCTCCTTTGTTGCTGCAGAAGTAAACACACAGACCATCAGAGCTCTTCCATGTGGCTCTTGTGATGGTTTGGGAGTGGTTCTAGGTGGGCGCTAGCACAGTCCCATCTGCAGACCCCATACTCCTGCAGGCCAATTATTTCCACACTGCCCTGGCCCTGGACATTACAGCCTCTTCATTGAGACTGGCCAAAGGGCTGTGTTTCCATGAATCCCTACAGGGTTTCATTTTGCTTTGTACCCATTGCTCACTGTACTATGGCAATTAGGGGACAGGGAACTCTTTATTCTTTGGTGTCATTCACAGAGTTATCAAGGACCCTTAAATCAGAAGAAAAACACAGGAAGCAAAAAAACAAACCAGAATAAGGCAAAGAAAGAGAGGTAAAGAATAAAGGAGAGAAAGAAGGATGTGAGAATCACAGGCAGCTTCTCCTGTGAATATTCACACAACCCTGAGCACACTCTGCTAGATGTCTCCCACTCTGACACTTAACATTCCCTTTTCTGAATGGAATTCTAACGACCCTGAGAAGCCAGCACATCGCTCCCAATCTACAAACGAGAGCACAGGTTCCACAGAGGTAAGTAACTTGCCCAGTGCGGCCAGCCTCAGCAAGGAGGTCACTCTGCCTCAGCATCCTGCATCCTGCATCCTGCCAATAGCCACAGGGGCTGCAACTGAGCCCCAGATTCATGCTGTCGCCAGTCACAGTTCAGAGAGGCAAGCCACTGGAGGGATAGCTCGTTTCATTCACCACAGAGGACCCACCTCTACTTACCTGGTACAGGGTCTACAGCCCATTAGCTAGTCCCACAAATACAAAAATGCTGCACTCTACACCAGCCAAGTCCCACGGAACGCTCTGGAGTCAGGAGAGCGTTGTCTCTGTACCGCTCAAAACTGGTCACTGTCACATGCTGTCCCCGAGCACATGGATTACAGCAAGCACAAATGAAGCACTTCACTTTTCATTTTATTTCACCCAAGTCAATTAACTGGCCACCTGAGGCCAGTGGTCACTGTACTGGACAGCAGCAGTCCTGAAGATACACAGCCATCAAGGGTCTGTTACACAGAGAGCTGACAATATTGCACAAAGTATGTGTGACACTGAAGTAATGTAAACAGGGTTTGAAGTGAAGCGTGGGGAGGAGACATAAATCCTTACAGTAGGTACATTAAAGAGGTACTCATTGGAGCTAAAACAGGCCTTCAGGTCCTCAACCGAAACCCTCTCAACTCATATTCAATTTAAATGGCGATACTTAGGATTCCCTGAGAAACAGAAGCAATGTGTTTTATGTGGGGTCTGGGACAGAGGCACTGGCTGGCATCCTGGCCCCCTCCCTGACTAGCACCATTATTCTCCAACACAGCATCCGGTCCCGGTGCCTCACTGTGACAGGCTTTGCTCTTTCTCCCTTTGTCTGTCCTAGAAGCATTAACTCTGCGCACAAACTCTCCCGCCGCCCATGGTAGGGTGTGAAATGGAACTCATGCTCTAATGTGTAAAACTACAGCTCTCAGGGCTGAAGTCTCTTTATTACGTTCTGTTCCCCAACCAATGTACTTCCTGCCTATGGTTTGAGAGCCTGCATTTATAGCTTAAAAAAAAAGTTATAGAAAAAGAGAAAAATTAGACTAGAGTCTGTGTTCAAACCCAAATGCAGGGAGAATGGAAAACAACTACCCAAGTGCCCATGTCCTCGGCAGCTTGGCTTCCCTTGCAGCCCTGCCCTGGACTTGGTGAGGACGACGAGGACACAGGCAGACTGTGGAGGATCCGAACACAGGGGCCGTACCCACGTGGAAAGACCCTGAGAAACACACACTCTCCAAAGGCACAGCCCCAGTGACCTACTCCTCCAGGTAAGTCCCACCTTCTAAGGCTCACCCAGGTAGTGAACCTTCCTAATGAATCCCTTGGGGTCAGCACCTGTGACCCAATCAGCTCTCCAGGGCCTGACTGGAGCCCTGCACGCACAGTCTCAGGGAGGCCTCACCTTTACACCAGGACAGAGGCAGAGTGGAGCACAGGCAGGGCTCTGACTGATCCCTCCTTTCTCTGCCTGTCCCCACCCACTCCTCTTCCAACAAGTCTCGTGTTTAGCCCCACCTATTTGCCTACCATTTCTGATTCTTCCAGGATCTGCAGTTAAAAACCAGTCTAGGGCCAGGGATTTAGCTCAGTGCCACTGTGCCTGCCTCACAAGTGCAAGGTTCTGAGTTAGATCCCTGGTGGAAGGAAGGAAGGAGGGAGGGAGGGAAGGAAAGAGAGAAAAAGAGAGAGAGAGAGAGAGAGAAAGAAAGAAAGAATAATCTTGTTTACTATTTACTTTCCACAGTTCAATCATCCTTTTCCAGTTGTCACTGTTGCTCATACTATTTGCACTTCTTCAATCATTTCAGTGGAATTTCTCACAGAAAGTTTCTATCCCAATGAACCTCAAAGTCAATACAATTCTTATCTGAAACAACTAAGAGTCATTATAAGTTTAATTAAAAATACACTATCAAAATGGACAATCAGCATCTTAAAAGCAGCTAAAGGATACCTTTAAAAATCTCAATTATCAACCAAAAGCTTTCAAAAGGCTTTTTCTTCTTAGTTTCCTGTGAAACTTTAAGACCTAAGTTCCTAAGAGCATGAGTTGTGTCTTGTTCATCTTCTCCTCCATAGCAAATCACCTTCATGAGAGCAATGCATTAGTTTTTGGGGACAGGGGCCTCAGGCACACTAAGCACACATTCTACCACTGAGCTGCACCCTCAGCCTGTGTGTTCCTTTGGTTAAATTAAGTGTCACACTGAGTGTATCACATCCAACACAAAAACTGGGGTGATTTTACCCAATATTTAGCATTTAGAGTAATGAGGGTTAAAGAATCCACTCAGAGAGCAAATCTATCTCTGATCCTAATGCTTTCTCTTCAAATCCCCAAGTAGACGCACAAAGGCTTGAACAACCATTGTGACCTCAGCAGTGCCTCGCACTGGGAAAGCAGGCCCTGTGTCCCTTGGCGTGCTCAGTGAGGGTCTCTGACATTTCTACAGTGGCTCTGGGGCTCCAATGATAGACGGTCAAGCCAAGGGTTCATTTCCAAATGGTTAGAAATTCAAGCAAGTGATATACAATGGTCATAACCAAGAATGGCTGATTTGAGAAGTAGTTACTAATAAATGCCATGGGTACACAAGGGTAAATTAGAAATAGGCCTTCTCCAAGTCTTGTTGGTAAGATAAACGACATATAGTCGAAATGCAATACTCACACTTCAGGTGCTCAGTGGCAACATGTGCCAGTGACCAGTCTTGAACAGTCCACTTAGCCAATACATCATAACAGCTGAATGATGTGAAAACTAGCCTCTTGGATTAGAACCTCAAAAGAAAATAGCCAAAAATGAAGTGCATGCTGTCAATAGCGATCCCTGTGGCCTTAACCTTATAGCTGTTATTTCAAACAGGGAATTCTAATGAATATGCCTTTTCAGGCTTATCCCACTAAGAACGACAAACATCATATACTCCTTCTAAGTTTCTGCAAACTGATGTCATTGTTTTCTTAAATCATTCCTTCTTTAAAATAAAATCAAACAGATTGAAAAACGACATGATGCTGTAATATGAGTTCCAATCTCTCAAATTAGGAAGAGATTTCCTTATAACTTGAGTTTCCCCAAGAATGCTTGGGTAAATATATACTTTTCCAGCTATGCTTTAATTATCCAAGATCATTTTCCAATTTGGTATTTAAAGGAATGCTTTCCCTCACAATTCTAAAAACTTTTCTTAGTAAGTTACAGTGACAACAGTGAGGCCTATTTAATGCATGACACTGGATTTACACTTCAGTCAGTTTAGCTTTCAGATTCTGTTACAAGGTCTCCTGCTACACACACATTACCAACCCCTGAGGGTTTGTTTCCTTATATGCAAGTCCTGACTAAGCCATAATAGAGACCACTGCTTCTGCTCAAACACAGCTCCTTACCATCTTTAGACAACAAATAACATTTGCTGAATTAAACTCTTTAAAAAATGTACTGTAAATAAACTAACTGCTAGACTGGATGGCAAAAGAACATTTAAGAACTTTAAGAGATTCTTTTTTTTTTTTGGTACCGGGGATTGAACTCCAGACCTTGTGCTGGCGAGGCAGGCAGCAGAACCATTGAGCTAAATCTCCAGCCCTTTTAAGAGATTCTTAAAAACAAGACAGTCACCCTCTGCAAATAACTTCACTGCTGACTTGATAGAAAGGCCTTCACTGCAGGCCGCTAGGTATCTGTGACTGCCAAATACATTAAAGTTGGGACTGAGAGAAGGGCAGCACTGTGCCAATGTCTCCTTCTGATGTGAGAAGCTGATGTTTGAAACAAAGGCCTTTTCTACAGGCAGCAAGAAGGGAGGAAAGGGTTCCTAGTTCTTCAAAGTGCATGGAAACACTGCTGGAAAGTCCTTGGGGGAAAGTAGTTCACCACCTTCTAAGATCTTAGAGCTAAGAAACACAACAAAGACATGACGTGGCATATTAATTTTTTTTTACTGAGAAACTTCTATGTTTTCCCAGTGCTAAAATTTATCATCAATATTAATCCTGGGCCAGAGATTTAGCTCAGTGGTGCCGCCACCTGCCTCGCAAGCTCAAGGTCCCAAGTTCAATTCTTGACACAAAAATCATCATCATCATCATCATCATCATCATCATCATCATCATCATCATCATCATCATCATCATCACCATCATTATCATCATCATCATCATCCCACTTCACACAGAAAATATTTATTTCTTGCTTCCATTAGCTTTTAATTTCTTTTACTACCACCCAGCCCTCCAAACTGCAATGGCAGGGATGAATTTGGCCCTGTGTCTTCTTGGGGGAGAGAAGCTAAGGAAAGACTGCTGGGCTTGTCCCGGCCCCTCCCAGAGGAACATGGGTCCTCCAAACTCAAGTGACAACTAAGACTCTAGGGCAAACAGTGTGAAGGGAAGATCACAGATGGACACCTAGAGGCTGAAGATGAGCATCTTATTAGCAGTGCTCTGGAAGAGAAAGGGGGCATGGGTAGCCAAAAGAGACCAAGAGCTCATAAACCAAGTTCCTCACTGGACTTCAATGAAAAAACTAAGTCTTCAGAGTACATCATGGTCTTCATATGTTAAAAATGGAAAGGGATTTTTATTTGTTGTTGTTTTTAAAGAAAAAGTTAAGTTTTGGGAGTGCCAAATCAAAAGCTAGATTTCTGACCTTATCTACACTAAAAGCACCATTTATGTACAGTTTTAAGAATGTGATATTAACAGAACGAGACTTATTAAAAACAAAACTTCTCCACAAAATTTTCTTGTTCTTACCCAATACCTCAGTTTCCATGAGGTCAAAATAAAGACATACATTCAGGCAGCTAGGAAATCTACTTAAATACGTAGTGGGTTCAAAATCATATCCAAAGTAGACTGGCTAAAGAAACTTAGGTGAACTCCTCTTGCTATTCAGGTTTTCTCTAGAATAACATTTTTAGTATTTTTATTAAGCTTAGCCAAAGAACTTGGAAAACAAGCTAACTAAATGTGTGAGTGTTGGGAAAGAGGAAGAAATAGATGCCAAATCACATTCAATAAAAAAAAAAAAGATGAAATAACAAACATACTTCAATTTTCCTGAAAAAACAAAGACATAACCATAAACAGAAGGGCATACAATTTTTTGAAAAAACTTAGCTAAGACAAAGTTGTCTCTGTGCTCTAAACACCAATGGCACTATCAATCACTAGGATTACAACCTTCTAATGCAGGTGGACCTCTATCCTACAGGAATTCTGAATATGGGCAATATATACAGAGCAAGCTCACCACCTGGAGTTTGTCCCCAAGGGAGGCACTCAGGTGGACAGCTGTGAGGGACAGGGAGGGGACTGCCTGATTCCTGTAGGAATTCGGCTGCATGCACTCAGAATTTTCCCTTTTCCTCCTGGGAACCTCCAAAAGCAGTAAGAAAACAGAAAAGACCTCATTTTCAACAAAACTGGGAAACACTAAGATATTTGCAAAAGCTTCCAAAAGATTCCCCTGACAACACAGCAGCCAAGGAGGAAGTGAGCAGAGACAGAAGAAAGATGCTAGCAGCAGCAGGTGTCAGGGCCCAAGATGGGGACACACACAGACACAGGCACACACACAGACACATACACACACACAATACAAGCTCCTGAAAGATGACGGACCTAGGAGGGTCAAAGAAGAGGGTCTGGTTGGCAGGAGAAATTAATGAGCCTGGCTTCATGGCAGCTGCAAAGAAAGGAAGTGTGCTGCACTTCCCTGCAACCTCGACTTGAGAGAAAGCTTGAGGCTTTTCTCTTCCCCCCTTCCTATGAATGAGGCTTACTATCTTCACCTGTTCTAGTCATCAAATAAGGAATCAGCATTCCCCCAAGCAGTTCGGGCTGAATCTTTACTTTCAATAAAGGGGCCTTACAATGAGTGTGAACAATGCCTAACACCCTGGAGGCAGACTGCTAAGAATTCAACATGCAGGCTCTGCTCATGTGCACATTTCCCAGCTCATCCTTCCAGAGGAAGGAAAGAGGGACAAAGGGCTCACCCTGAGTTTGAACTTACAGGGCTAACTAAAATAGGTGAAGTACACAGACACCCCTAACTCACCAGCAGCTGTTTATTTAATAAAACAATAACTCTTAATCTTAGTTCCTCACCTAGAGCCACAGGTCTCCTGCCCCAGCTCACCACTGACCCTGTGGAGAGGCTGGATAAGGGATCCTCATGTCCTCCGACACCTGAAAGGCACTTCCATGCCCATGCTACCTGATCCGGTCCCTGGCACCTCGACCCACAGACTGCTGAAGTAACCAGTGCCACCCGGCCTTGGAAAGCTCAGCTGAGCATGAGAACAGGCGCTGGGGACACCATATCAACAAGCACTTAGACCACGTGGAACATCCCACTACAGCAAGTCAAGTGATCAACATGCAACGCCACCTCCCAAGCCCACTCGGGATTTTTAAACACCGAGGAAAATCTTAACAGAAATACTACAAAGAAACTGCAAATAAAACATAGGAGAAGTGATATAAATACCATGTTGTCCCTACCACCGGGGAAGGTATGACCTGTTTTCTTTAAAAGCCCTGGCTGGGAGCCAGGGGTTTAGCTCAGTGGCACGGTGCCTGCCTCGCAAGCCCAAGGTTCTGAGTTCAATGCCTGGTACAAAAAAAAAAGTCCTGGCTGAACATTTCCAAGCTCCTTAGACGGGTACTGATTTTCTAACCAAGGGGCAAATCATAGAGTTTTCAGAGTCCAGATTACAAGTACACAAAACAAAACAATGCCTCCCCACCAAAATGTATTGTTCAGTAACTCGGCTTGCAGCATCTGTTGTTACTCAAACTGAACTCTGCTGGAAAATATCAATACAGGGCTTTATGTTGTTTTCTAGAGGAGAAACATAAAGGCAAAACAATTAAGATGTTTGGATTAAATGGAAACAAATGATTATTGAGACATTTGTGGCTGTGAAATACACAGCAAAAGGCCACCAAGAAAAGAAAATCAAAGGTGCTTCTGACCCCCCAAGTACAATCCCACAGGAATGAATTACTTCTACAAATTAAAATCAGGACAGCTGTAGGGAGCCACATCACGAGTGCTGACTCTATAAATGGGTTAAGTGAGCCAAATGTACTTCCCACCATGCACATAACTTACCCTAAAACTCTGTTCTCTATACTCTCAAATATACCTGAAGTCAGGACACACAGAGAAAAACCTTTTCACATGACAAAGTCTGAAGTTTCAGAAAAATGTGGCCCAGAGGCCAAGAGTGGAAAAGAAAGCAGGTCAAGGCTGACCAAGTCGACTTGGCCACAGGAAAGCTTTTCTTTTTTGTTTTTTAGACAGGGTCTCACTATGCAGTTCAGGCTGTCCTTGAACTCACTATGTAATCCAGGCTGGCCTCAAAACTCATGGTACTCTGCCTGCCTCAGCCTCCCAAGTGCTGGGATTACAGATGTGCACCACTACGCCTGGCTTACAAGGAAACTTTCCACGAAGCTGAGGGATGCCACCTTTGGAACGCAGAACTCGCATCTTACAGAGAGTAACTGTGGGATGGGTCTTCAGAGCTCTCACGGGAAGGACGACCTGGCTAGAGCTGCAGGAGTGTGAAGAGCCACAGCATAGGCTCTTCTCAGGAGTCCTCTGAGCGGCTGTGCCAGGGGACAGGTGTACCCACAGCAGGCCACAGGGCATGTTCCTGGGAGTGCCCAGCTACCAACAAATAGACGGGAGGCAAGGCCAGCAGGGACATTCCCTTCTCTACCTCCTCCAGCCGCCGCCTCTGCTCCTTCTGCTGCTCGATCCGCTTCTGCCGCTCGGCCAGCAGCTGCCTCTTATACTCCTCCTGCTCCCGGAGCTGCTGCTCTTGCAGCAGCTGCTGTCTCCGAAGAGCCTCAGAGCGCTCCTTGTTCTCCTGCTGCAGTCTCAGGAAGTCCCGGCGCAGAGTGGACTCCCCAGGCACGTTGACAATGGAGCTGTGGGGGAAAGCAGGGCTTCAGGGGTGCCCACACATCACCCAGCCCCCTAGAGAGGTGGCAGCAACAGCATTCATTCCTCTGTCTGTTATTCTGAGACAGGGTCTCTCTATGTACCCAAGCTGGCTTCTAACTCGCAGCAATCCTCCTGCCTCAGCCTCCTGAGTGCGGGGGATTACAGGTGTGCATCACTACACCTGGCTTCTTTTACCATTTAACAACAATCAAAGGCTAAATCACCTCTTCCACCTCACCAGACCACCCATTTTCCATTAGCAAATAGAAATATCAGTGTGCTCTTCAGCATTTAGCTTTCTTTCCTGTTGATCTGGCCAACTCCCAAGCCTTGGTGTGTATGCTGCCCAATGTCCCTGGTCAGGGTCAGAGTTGAGCCCACGTGGGCTTCAGGAACGAGTTACTGCACAGACAAACTGACCCGTGGCTTCCTTGCTCACCACCCTCCACTCAGAATAATATGGCAACAAACAGATCTCCCAAACTCTTCTATTTCCCTGAATCATGCCCTTATCCGAAAACAATTACACTGCTCAAAAACTGGTTGAAAATCCTCTAAATTTTTAGTTTAAAATAGGTTCATATATTCTTCACGAGAAGATGCCATGGGTCTCTTAATGTAGCACATTCCCTTCTCCTTCCACTCTTGTCTCTAGTCTTCCCAGGTCCCCTTCACCACCTTCTGTCCCCTCACTCAAGTCACAGTGAGGGCAGCACGAGCAGCTGCCTGGCAAAACCATTACTAAAGGCCAGATTCTCTGATCTCTGACTCATGTCACTATGAGATTCATGTAGTTCTTGGTCCTCAACCCTACTTTATCACACCTTGGGAAGCCAGGGAGAAACCAAAGCATAGACCATAAACTGGGTCAGCACTGAGCACACTCTAAATGGGAAATCAAATGCTGGTAACCACATCGGTGGAAGAGTAAAACCAAACAAAAAGAACGGGGTTGGGGGTCGTCATTGCTCAGTGGCGGCCCCACCTGCCTGCGCGCAGGATGACTCTGTGTGCAGGCAGGACCCTTTACCAGCTTTGAACTCTGGATCCCCAAACACAACCACCCACTCTGAGTGGGGAGGAATGAGGTGTAACCTTGGTTAAAAAGGGGGGGATGGGGGGGCATCTAGCAGGAGTCTGTCATAGCACAGGAAACGGGGACAGCAAGGCACTTGTCAGAGATTTAGGATCCCTTCCTTTGATCCCAGGCCTTCGGAATCTGCCATCAGCCTGCAGCCTAACTTCTGCCCAGAGCGGGTAGCTGGCTGGGGCTGTGTCCTCACCTCGGCTCTCCTTCCTGCTCAGGCACTTCCTCCTCCTCCTCCTCGCTCCCACTGTACTCGTACTCCGTCTCATCTGTGAACACAAGGACACAGGGACTGTCACAACTCCTGACCTGGGTCTGCACAGGCCAGAAGCTCCAGCATCATGGGAAACACCAACTTGTCCAGGATGTGGGTTGGGGGATGACATGCTAAATTCCCATACACAGAAGGTGGACACTCCTGGGCCAGCCTGACTCCTGGGCAAAGGCCGACTCTGCTGTATTCAAAAGACCCAATGGGATGTTCTGAGTGTCTCAGAGGAATGCACAAGAAAAGTGACCAGCAAATAAATCAGTAGGAGTCTGTCTGCACACCAGAACTCCAAAGAAAGAGAAGCAACTACTGAAAGAGGCTGAAGCAATCAAAAGATTTATTTTGGTGTTTTTAGCACCTGGGAGACCCAGGGTGCAGGCGAGAGAAAGGTCTGCTGGGTGGAGAGGAAGGGAAGCACTAAGTGGATGCTAGCACCCCAAATCAAATACTCTCACAAGCTATGAAAGGCAAAACCAGAGAAAAACTAGGTCCAGGGATGTAGCTTGGCAGTGCCATGCCTGCCTGGCAAGCACAAGGTCCTGAGTTCAATGCCCAGTAGAAAAAACAAAACAGAAAAACTAATGAAAACAGTAGAGCAAAAGAAGAGGACAAAAACTATTCTACTTACACCAGACAAGCAAAATTTTCAACATGAGTAATTAATTTTCACTGTACAGATTTTATCCCATTTTCTCAGAAGGTAAGAGGCCACTGTATTAGTCTCTTTGCAAATGGCAGATCAACTTCAAGGAGCAGCCTCATGCCAGAGAGCAATCAGAACCAGAAACAGAGAAGAGATTAACAAAGTCTACTCACAAACAAACAAAAGACTTCTGCTTTTTGTCAGAGATACGTAAGATGAAAATCATTTTCCTGGTGAGAAAAACAAGCCTAAGGACTTAAAATGTGGTTCTGGACAAACCCATCAGTCTATATATTACATTAACTCTTCTCTATGCTAGACAATCAGACCATATAATTTTAATGGACACATAGACACTTGCTGTTTCTAAAGAGAATTCCGACCTAAATAATCATTGGACTCTTTTAAAATTGGTACACCATTATTTTTTAAATTCTACATTATAAACTAATCCTAGACAAGAAACTGAGAGTATGTGGAAGGTGAATGTGAAACACAGTTACTGTGACTGAACATTAAGAAACTAAGTTAGTTGCTCTGCTGTTTCTACCCACAAGACATGTATGGTGAGGAATCAGACATGGTCTAGGGCAGGCACTTAGCAAACACTGGTGCACAGCCAATGTTCCGTGAATGTTAGTTTTTGGGATTAAGTACAGTGATGGGAAAATGACTAGAAGTACTGCTTAAACTTAATTGTTACTTTGACTGGCTTGGGAACTGTCTAGAGCCGGGAATGTCTGGGCAGGTCAAAGACAAGACTCTGGTACTGTATTTGGTCCCTGGCCCCTTCATCTCTGACATTGTTCCCCTGCTTTGCTTCCTGAATGCCATGAACTAAGTGTTTTTGCTCTACCAGGCCCTTCTGCCATGATGTTCCTCCTTAGAGATAGCAGACCATGGAATAAATCCCTTGAAACCACAAGCCAAATTAAACCTTTCCTCCTGTAAGTGTGGGTGTCAAGTATTGTGTCCCAGTGACAGGAAAGCTTACTAATACATCCACTACACAGAAAATATTTTCCAAAAATAGGAGCTACCATGTTGGCTAAGAGTTAAGAAAAAAAGACATCTCTTTTAGCCTTTACTTCACTTTGTTGTAATCACATAGTTTAATACGCAAAGCTTAACTACTTTCATGACCGAATATATAAGAGGGGAAAAGAACATCAACAATAACTTAACTGAATACCCAAGTTCTCTAGGCCTGATCCCTGAACCACATGGCAGAGACAAACAATATGACCTCTGCGTCAAGTGAGCAGCTCGGTGTCACCCTTGGGGTGTTCTAGTTGGCAAGAACCTAAAAAGAGAAATTTAAAAGGATCAAAGTATAATCAGGCTTAATACCTTTCTCTCCTCTCTTCTTTCTGGTCCGGTCTATATGGTCTTTAAGCTGGATTCGAACTTGCCTTTCATTTGGCTGATCCCTTATAAAAGGATGCTTCAAAAGCTGTTCGGTAGAGGGCCGCTGCATGTAATTCTTCACCAGGCACCCCTCTATAAAACTAAAAAATTTCTTTGACCTGTAGAAAGAAGGGAAAACTATCAGTTTCTACCACAAAGAGCAAAACTCCAAAACATCAATAACTTACAAGCCTGAAAACAAAGAGTTTCAGAATTCACAGTGAACGTACTGCAAGTGCCCAGGAACAGTGTAAAAACAGGAAGAGGAAGGTGAGCTCACTGGGGACCAGGAACAGCAATGTAACATAGGCTAAGATTTATGCCACAATGACACTAACAACACACCACAAGCAGACAGCTACGGGGAGTTTAAAATCTTGTGTTGCTAACTAATCACTAAATCATGGGGGCAGAGAAGGGAACAGAGGGAGGGCTGTACTAGCATGAGGCACACAGAGGGTGGATGTTGGGACCTAGAAGACAGAATAGAGAGAGATGAGAAAGGAAGCACGTCAGAGACCAAAGCTGGCACTTCTGAGTCTGCTAATCTGCTGCTGCAATCGAAGTGTCACACTGGCTGACTGACTCTCAGGCCTTCCTGCTCACAGGTGTAACTGACAGCTGTGCACGGGCATTTGCATGACTAGCCACTCTGAGTGCTGTCTGTTTCTCCACACTCGTGAGGACCCAGACCAATCGTCATTTCTGCCACTCTTGAGAATCCTATCTGTGGAGACAGGGCTCTGGACTGTCCCTAGGGCAAGGTGGACCCCCACCAGCATTCTGCCACACATTCCCCAAAATAGGAGCCCCTCTTCTGGAGTCGCCTGTACTTAGCAGACTGCACACTCAATGTGTCTTTTGCCCCTACTGGTTGCAAGTAGGGCAGGTCAGGTCCAACTTATTAGAAATGCTCAGCTCTCCATGTGGCATAACACAAATGATATGTAATAAATTTTTGTTGAATGAATGACTTCTTCAGTTTTTAGAAATATGACTCAGAAAATTAGTTCAGCTCTAATTATTTTGCTGCTCGTAAGAATGACTTCTCTTATTTCCACCAAAGCTTAATATTTTTTTCAGTTTGACAAATATTTATGTGTTTATGTTAGGCTATATAAAAAATTTACATAGAAAATAATGGAGAAGTAATTTAGGTATACATGATAGCAAATTATAAGTAAGCTTTCAGAGGAAAAAAAGTCAAACTGGTACAGTGGTTGGACCTAAAGAAAAGGCAGGATATTTGATGGTCTAAAAAGGTAGGATATTTGATATTCCTAAGACAGGCATGAGGAGACAGAAATCCACAGAGCAGAAATATGAACAAAAGGACAAACGTACCAGAGGAGAGTGAGTCATTTTCTAAGGATGGTATGAAAAGTAGAGAGAATGGGAAAACGGGTCAGGATCACTCAGAGAAAGACCCTCAAAGTTACTCAGCACTGCTGCTCTGTGGTTAATGAGGAACCTGAAAGATGCTACACAGTACTGTAAAGCAGAATGCTGTACACAAATATCCCCAAACTGTGCTCCCTACGGCATCACTGCAGGGAATTTATTAAAAATACAAATACCTGAGTCACTCCCCAGACCAGAAATTTGGAGCCTTGGTGCCCTGACTTAAAAAAAGATTCCAAAAGGGGGCCTGGGATTTAGCTCAGTGGCACCACACCTGCCTCCCAAGTGCAAGGTCCTGAGTTCGATCCCCAGTAACCCCCCCCAAAAAAAGATTCCAAAAAGTTTTCATGCTCTGTATCCAGACTAACATTTGGAGACCAAGCATCTATAGTACATTCTTTATAATCAACAGTTGAATTATGCTGGAAAAGTCACTGACTGTCTTTTGATGGCCACTTCTCCAAAAACAATACAATAATAAAAATTTACATCTTGTGTTCAGGAAGATAGCAAAGACAACAGAAGAAAACTGTGATGTCTGCAATCATCTTGCCCTTTCAGAATACATGAGGACAGTGATGTAAATGGATAAATGTGGGGAGTCATCAAGTTCAGTTAGAGCAAGCTTGGTGTCAATAAAGAACCCAGGAAGCAGTTATCAACCCCTACCATGGTCTGTTTACTCTAGTGTATGTTTTGCACTTAGTGGTTAACTCCAAAGTGCAAGCAATGGACAGAAAAAAAAGTGTGAAGTACCCTTAAGATAGAGCATTGAGTAATCCACTTACTACAGAATCCCTTCAATAAAATCTGACTGAGAGGGCCAGGGATTTAGCTCAGTGGTTCCGCCACCTGCCTCGCAAGCGTAAGGTCCTGAGTTCGATCCCCAGTGCAAAAAAAAAAAAAAAAAAAATCTAACAGAGAAAGAGAAAGGAAAAGAAGACTCACTTACTTTAGTATTAGCTAGACCGACTCATTCAAATCCAACAAATACTCCTGGGCAATGTTTACTACACATGTGGTGTCTTGGGGCTGGCTGGCCACCCGTAAGGCCCAGCATTATCATGCCTTAACAGAGCTGATCAATCAAGCCCCACATCTTCACAACTGTGTGGCCTTTAAGAACTTCTCCACAAACTAGAGAATGGAGGGAGATGACCTGAGGTATATAGGATAGAATAAGGTGACAGGCAATGCATAAAGGATGAAAAGAAACCCTGCCAGCAGAAAAAGGTAAGGAAGGACAGCACAAGGTGCTAGGAGCCAGGATAGTAAAAAAAGGGAGATGCATGAAAGAAACTGGGGTGAAAATGTCTGGGTGCATCAATGACCAAGAGGGGAAGAAAAACTGCAACACATCAGAAGATGAGCAACCAAAAAAGGACAGCACAGACAATCACAGCTGAAAGACCAAATGCAGAAAAGAAGGCTCAACATGGACATGTCCTGGTACATGCACTTCAGCACAAGAGGTAAGAACTTAAGAGGAAACAACATTAACTTGAATCAAATTTAAAAAGAGATAGGGAGTTTGGGGACACTTAGTTGGTGGGCAACACTTAGGGACCAGAGAAAGGAGGGGAAGCTGCCATGGATGGAAGCTTAAGTGAAGACAGCGGACAGAAAAGGCTCAGGAAAAAGTTCGGGAGAGGACAAGTAGGCAAAACTCTAAATTCCAACAGCTGTCCTCAGGATGGGCGTCCTCTGTGGATGTCTGTCAGTCTTTTCTCTGACAATGCAAGAGAGCAGCAAGGGAGAGTGAAGGTGGCTGCCCAAGGAGAGAAGACCCATCTGTTACTACACTCTTCTGGAGTGAAATGGGGTATGTCCAGCTTCCTTCTCAAATAACTAGTGAATCCTTCCATTAAGTTTAAAATCGTGCATCATCTGAGAAACTTCAAGTAAGCACAGGTTTGCTTTTATAAATGATGTTTCGAAGTATATTACAGTATGCTTAAATATCTAAATGGAACTTTTTTCTTTAACCAGTGATAGTGTTTCATATGGTCACTTATCGTATTGGAATTCTAAGAGAATTTATCAAGAATCAAACTCAGGGGAAAACAGGCACCTTTTAATCGTGCTTGGAGGTAATGATTTTTGTACTCAGTGAAATTACAATGGCCAGAATTTTATCTCAGAAGAAAGTAAAATAAGAAAGAGGGAGATAGGGGTAAGGGAAGGATGAAGGAAGGAAGGGATAGAGGAGAGAAAAGGAAAAGAAAGAGAACAACAGACATCCATACTTTGCTTACCATTTTTTTGACTTCAGCCGGGGAGGAGGGTTTCTGGGGATGAGAAACAGTGCTCTCATGGGGTGCATGTCACAGAGAGCTGGGGAGAGGAGACGCGTGTCAGTGCAGCACTTGGTTCACTCACTGTGCCTCCTAGGGCACACTCATAACAATAGCACATGCTCTGTTCCACACTGACACGCTGGCATGTCAGTTTGGACTTCTAGTTATAAAGTCTAGGGCACACCTTGAATTTCCCATTTAGTAACAGCAAAATAAAAGAACAAGAGCAGCAAGAAGAATACACAACTTCAAAGAGACATAAGAAACTTTTCATAAATCAAAGTTAAATACTAATTCAAAGTCTTAAAGGAGGTAATGTTTAAGTTTTTAAGCCATCTGTAAGACTGCAATAAAAATGACTGTTTTTAAGGATTAAATAAGACATGGCTTGCAAAGGCCTTCACACAACACCTGTAACAAACAGAAATGCTGCTGCTGTTTATCACTATAGCTAGTATTACAGAGGGTAAAAATGTGAGTGTACTAACGGAGTGGATTCTGCACGGTTGCTGCACTTCCATCCCTTGCTCTGATAAAGACTGTGTGGCAGACACACACATCAATGTCTCACCACAGGCACTATGCATCTCCTTGAGTTTATTTACCTTCAAGAGAAGCTCACAAGGCTGCTAGGGATGGGGGTGGGGGAGACCACAGTATTTCCTTTGTGAAGGAAAACAGACAAAGGATCATGCAATCTTCCCTGTCTCAATTCCTTAGAAGGAAACATGAGGGAACAGATGAAACAAAAGGCAGACACTCATCTCTGTACAGCAAACTAGCTCTTAGATGTCAATATGTTTTTTCATTCATTCAACAAATATTTATTCAGCAACTATGTACCGGGCAGTTACACACTGTTTGGGAGTATCTATTTAAAGGGGGACCAGCAGAAAATTTGTGATTTTTTCCCTTTTTCCTTGGCAATTCTATCCCATCCCTGATCAAAAATCAATTTTATGATGTTTTCATTGATTTAATCCAAGGAAGCCAACACTCTTACAAATGTTCATTAGGTGACACCAAAAACAAATTATTCTGTAAATAAAAGGTAATACTCCCATCTGTAAAGTCAAAATTTAATAACAGAACTTCATGTGTTAGAACTAATTTCACTGAATGTTAAATTTAAAATGTAAAAAGAAAAGTTAGCACTAATTATTTAATCTCTTCAGGACACACATATGAACATTACTTAAATAAAAGAAAATACAGCTTACAGATCTCTACAAGGAAGCCTGGCTGCCAAGAATTCCCTTTATATCTAAAACCACGTGTTTAGCATTCCTTCATCTACCGGGCCCACCAGGAATGATGTCAGACAGGGGGCTGGGTTAGGTTACACGACAACTTGGCTAGAGGAAAGAAAGTGACTTACGGGGAGCACCTTCTGCCATCTCAATGGCTGTAATGCCACAGGACCAAAGGTCACTCTGCAGAAAGAAAACAGCATGTCATAACAGCTACAAAGTCACAGCTTATTTACATGTCTGCCTGTTCACACAAAGGAAATACAGGCTTTCTTCCAGGTACAATCCTAAAAGAAGTTTGCCAGGAACTTAAAGCACAAACACATCTATAAGGACATTTTATAAGTGAGTGAATGAATAAAACATAAAATAAAATTAATGTTGATTTATAATTAAAACCACTCATATGTACAAATTAAGTAGAGATGGTTCCCTTCAAAACCTCCCTATAACTAATCAGTCAACAGTCTCCTCTTCACGTTACTCCTTCATGTCTTTATAGCATTAATAAAGATTAGTCTCCTGGTCCATATTTAAGTTTACTTTATGTTGCTACCTCAAACTTAATTAAAATTTGCAGAGTTTAAAATACAGTAAGTGTTCTTTATAAAATGCACATAACTAAATTCATGGAACCAAACGTGGTTCTCTGCTTCACTCCATGCTGGGCATCCATGCTCCCCTCCCCAGCCACACAAGGAGCTGTTGGGGACTCATGTGTGCTTTTTCCAAATGGCGCCTGCAAACGTCAGTTTTAAGAACTGCATCTAACTTCACCCCCTATACCAATAAAGTTCCTGAACAGCAAGCACTTTTGTCTGTTTTGCTCACACTCATATGCACACCCAAAAAACGCCAGCTGATGAACAAAAGTTATCATCTGCCAATGTTTCTTAAAATCCAAAAAAACTCTAAAAAGCAGACAACAGACAATCAGTGCCATAGTATATTTTCATTTATACGCTATCCTCTCCAAGGAAATACCTGACACTTGCTCAGTTTGAAAGGTCTCCACATAATCTACGGTCCTGTTATGAAGCTGGGGACAGGCCTGCAGACCGTCCCTTACCACGACAGGGTGTCCTACACACAGGAACACACAGGCTTGATACTGTCCCAGAGACAGCTTCTGGGGGCCTCCATGGTAGGATAAGCAAGCGGGGTCACAGCTTTCCTTACAGGAGACTGCACTTAGCATCCATCCTGTGACGAGAGCCAGGCCTTTCCAGTTGATTGGAAAAGGCACCAGATAAGCCCAGAGGGGGGCAGGACATTTTACAACAGACCTAGCCCCTTCGGCAATTTAGTTTCGGGGGGAGTTGTCTAGATTTTTTTCAAAAGTGTTCTAAATTTGAAATGTTCTCAAATTTTAAACTTAAGTAATAACACACTAAAAGAATGGCAAGTCACAAAGTCTGTAATTTGATTTAAAATTATTTCACCTAAGAAATTAAAATTCCTCTGTAACACTGACTTAAGTCTCATTAATTAGGTATTATAATAAATACTAAATATACTGGGGACTGTCAGGACATGAACTCAGTTTTGAATATTGTTAACAGGTACATTAACCACTCTGGCTCATTTAATTATAGCCATTAATTAGTTTTAAAGAAATTTTTGTAAACAATCTCTTTATTGTGTGTGTGTGTGTTACACCTGGATCAAAAAATGCATTAATGGGCCGGGGATTTAGCTCAGTGGTGCCACTGCCTGCCTCTCAAGCACAAGGTCCCGAGTTCGTTCCCCTGTATAAAAAAAAAATGCATTACTGACTCAAGTCTCTAGAGGTCAGTGTAGGAACTTCAGAAAATTCAAGGACCTAATCAAAGCTGTCAAGCTCTTTAAACAAGAATAGTCTAAAATTTCCTAGGTGAAGGTATTGTACATCTTGACAGTGTTTTATAAAGAAAAATATGTGATTCTAATGTCAGCTGGCAAAGCAGACAGGATGAGGTGCTGGACCAACTCCAGAAGAGCGCGGGCACAAGGCAGCAGCATGACTCCTTGGGAAGGAGCTCGCAGGCAGCAGCAATGGATAGACAGACAGACAGCAATCTACACACAGTGCCAGACAATGTGCACCCAGAGCAAGGCCTCCCATCTTTCTCACTGAAAAAGCAGCTCCTAAGCAAGGCACACCATCCCCAGGAAGAGCCCAGCAGACATCACCCCTTACTCTGTAGTCATAGGTGGCATCTGGGTTCTCGTCGCAGGCGATGACCTCGGGTGCCATCCAGTAAGGAGTGCCAATGAACGTGTTTCTCCGCCCAACTGTCCTGTCCAGCTGAGCACTCACTCCAAAGTCCACTGTGAAAGGAAGACAGACAGGAACAGGGATCATGGTCAGTAAACACGCAAAATGCAGAGGCAATGTGAGGGGGAGGTGTCCTTGGGGCACAGTGAGAGGGTGCTGCTGGCTCATGAACAATCAAACTGCGAGGCAGGTGATGCTGTGAAACAGAGCCCACTCCTGGGCACGGCCACCAAGTCTGCCAGTCCCTCTGCCAGTCTGGATGCTCCTGGGAGCCCGGCCTGCCCACCAGTGACCAGCGCAGAGCCTTCTGCAGGGTGGTGCTCATTGGTGCCTTCAGAGAACAAGCCTGCATCAACCAAGTGCAAGTTCAGGGGAAGAGACCCAAGGCCCCTGATGTGGCTTCTGAAGCAACACTGGGGTTTCTTAGAAAGAGCACAGTATCGGTGCACTAAAGAAAGAGCACCAAGAATACACGAAGAACACCTCCCAAAGCACTTGGCACCTAGGTTTCTCAAGGTCACTTCTATCTCCCACTCAACTCAACGGTGATGGTGGTCTAGAGGAAAGACCCTGTAGGGGCAGCAGAAGGCCCCCTCTCTGGACATCACCTGCCCTTGAGTCCCAGCCAACATCAGGTCACATACACTGCCACGGCCCCCACAGGAACACAGAGCAGCAGGACCAGTTCATGTGCAAGGTCAGAGTGCACTTCTGCTCACAGAGCATGTGAAGGAAGCAGTGCGCAGCAGTGGGTGCGTCACTGACGGCTCCTGCTCCTGCTCTTCCTTGAGGAAGCCCCAGGCTGAAGAGTCAGCACAGACCGCTTCCTGCCAGCTGATCACAGGGCAACCACCACAGCCTGGCACCCCACCCGAGGGCAGGGGACACACAGCTCTCCAAGTCATCAGTCCTCCTGATGCCCAGGATGCCCTGGCATAGGGAAGATGGACAACTTCCCTGCCTCATTTCAAACAAAGGTAGACTAGATTCTTGTGAGCATAAAAAAGGTGTTTTTTTAAAATGATGCATTAGTGGAAGAAAAATTACAGCTAATACTGTTGGAAACCTTGGGAGACCACTATATGAGAATAAAATGGGAACAAGTTCAGATCCAGCCAAAAGAAACAGGTTAGAAATCACTGTAAAATTATCTCCAGGAAGACTGGGATCTGTATCTAGTCACGTACAAATTTCTCTAACATTTACTACATGTAAGGTGATGTTACAGGTGCTGCCTAAGAACACTCTCAATCCAGCTGCTGCATTCCCAGAACTTACATTCATTCTGACAAATGAGACAGAAAAACAAGAAAATAAATAGTCATAAATTATAAACTGTAAGCAGTACTGGGAAAGAAAATAAAGTCCAAGACAGATCAGAGAGTCAGAGAAAGCCTCTGCAGATGAGGAAAAACCTGTGAGTCCAAAACTGAGTTTAAGTGCTCCCAATGGGAGACAGTGTGTGCAAAGGCCCTGGGATAAGCCTCTGCCCACCCCCCAACCCAGCAGGGGCAGAGCAAGAAAACAAGAGGGTCACAAAACAGGGGGAAAGTAGTAGAGGTCAGTTCCTAGTACATTTTATGGGCCAGGGTAAAAAATGTGGATTTTGTTCAAAGTAAAATAGCCACTAAGGGCCTTTAAGCGGGAGAGTAACACGGTTGCATTTAAACATCAGCCTGGCTGCCATACAGAGGAAGCAGCACAGGAGAAGCGTGGGGGAGGGCTGAAGCCTGGTTCCCACACTCTCCACCAGAGCAGAAACAGGGAACACAGGCACAGCACGGACCGTGGACTTTCAGCTAAATATGCACACAGCAAGCGTCAGACTACACCCACATACCAAGTTTCACCTCTGCGTTTTCCGTCAGCAACACATTCTGGCCCTTGATGTCCCGGTGAATCACATGATGAATGTGAAGATGTGCCAGCCCCTGAGGAGAGACACATGTAAGCTTTACTCTATAGCCCTGTAAGTGAGCAGCCAAGGACGCATCTCTTACAACATGCAAATGTGGGCCAAGCAATTTTGGGAACTCCTGTTTGGGACACAGGACTCACCCTCAGTGAATTCCAAAGAAGACATCATCCGCACTCCCACACAAAGAGCCCTGTCCCTGCCACCCAACCAGAGGGTTCACTCCCAGCTGGGGGCAACACAACCCTCCTTGCTGTGCCTTTAAGACACACTGTAGATTGCAGCTGCAGTTCCTTGGCTGTAATTTGTGTTATTTGTGTACAGGGTGGGGCCTTTCCCACGCCAAGCATCTATCTTTCAGTGGCTGATGCTGTGGTATATGTGAACCAGACCCATCCCCAGAGGACTAGAGAGGGTTTAAAGGCTGGCTCTTACCACATGGTGACAAACTGCTAGGTGCTGGTCAATCCCAGCTCCACCCCAAGTGTAAAGTGACTCTGCCATCTGAAAAGCCTTGTGCTGAAGTAAAATGTCTTTCTTTTCCAAGAAAACAAGCCCTGCTGGGCATCTAGCACTTTCTGATGACCTTGAATCTGGAGGGAAGGCCAAGAGCATGTCTCTTACGAGGTGGGGGGAGACAAACACACCTGCTGCATCCAAATCTGCCTGCAAGACACCGATGTGTCATCTCAGAACTCACTGACTATTCTGTGCTTCACTGGAGAAGCCAAATCTATACCTCATCTGCCTGAGACACAGCAACCTGTTTACTCTGAAATATCTCATTACAAAAAGGATGGGTGACAGGGTGCTCATTTGATTTTTCTCTTATTTTTCTGCATGGTTTCACCGTATTATCATTACTTTGTAGTATATGAATGAAATACAGCAACTCCTCTAGAACACTCTTTAATTCATTTACTAGTCTGCAGTGAACAGAGTCTATTGGATGATTGTTTACTCTTCCTAACACAGGATGTGCAAATGTGGTAAACACAGCACTGACTGGGAAAAGCCACACACATGGATACCCAAGTGCCGCCTGCATTTGGCATGGTGTGACACCCATCAGCAAAAGGAGGAAGGAAAATGAAGCGTCCCTAATTCTCAGATTCCTGCTTCCATTACTTCCATTCGTTTCTGTCCTCCAACTTGTACAAATCTCCTTCTTACACTTTCACAGGGTTATCTTAGCAACCAACTGAAGTACCCCTGTCATCTTACACTGACAGGGCTTTGGGGCTCTTGTCTGCTGCCAGCAACAGATGCATGAAATCATGCCTGTTTCCCTGTCTACCGTGCTTAGGGACAGCTGCTTCTGTGCAGGAGAGTTGCAGACACTGTCTCCCAGTGCTGCAGCAATGCTAATCTGAGCTAGGATTACCCGGAACAGGAGCCTTTCTCCCACATGCACTGCCTGGGAGCAAGCAGCTACTCCCCTGCCACAGTGCAGGTCACGATTGCTTCCCCTCAGCAGAGGGGCCCAGTGTGCATGCTTGTAACCACCCATCCAGAGCAAGCAGGACACATGTCCTGCAACTGTCTCACCTGAGGACAGAGAGCAAAAGGATGGTCAAAGGCTGACCCTCAATACTGGTTATGGAAAGCCCCAAGTTCCCACACTCGATATGAAATACTGGTTTCCACCACAACGAGAAAACGGCTGCACACCTTGGGAGGGGACAGCGGGCTGGGAGGAAAACACTGCTTTTGTTGGTGAGCCTCATGGTCCCGAGATCTCAGCAGGCTGGCCCTGGGATCACCTTCCACTGATCTCTACAGCCTGCATACTCACACCTCCGCTCACAGCTGGCTCTCTCTACAAAACTGACTCATGGTCACTGCTATGTTCATACACACACCAACTAGCAGATAATACCCTCACTCTCGTTGGGACACACATCTGGTAGCTCTTGTTCATTTAAACCATGGCCCTGGAAAAACTCCCACTGTGCATGAAACAGACATGACAGAACCTCCTGTTGTAGATGCCCACCGTGGAGACAAGAGTTGCGGCATCTCAATAGGCTGTCTGCCTGCTGTCCTTTGCCTACCACATTGGAGCTGGTTAGGGGCTGCAAATAACCAACACTTCGCTTCAATGCTGCCTGAGACTGGCGGTGGGAGATAGTTAAACACACTTAGCAGGCATGATGGCAGACAACGCTCATCTGAGTGTACAAAGCCACGCCACGCATTTCAGCAGGCAGCAGAACACTTGACCCTGAGGACGCTGTGCCAAAGCTAACTTGCAGTTACGAAATCTCATGTTGGAATTCTACACAAGAAAGGTATGTGGATGTGTGTGAAAACCTGAGAGATAGCTGTGTGCAAACATGACACGTCACATGATTCACATACTCTACTCTCTTCTTCACCTAGCAACTGTAATTTCCTCAATTTGGGATCTGTAACACATGTCAGGAAATAAGTCCTGAGAGCTGATCCACACAGGGTGCAGAATCAACAATAAGGGCTGGACTCACGAAGGACAGGTAAGCCTCATGGCCAGTTGACCCGCTAACCCCACTCTGTTCTGCCTGTCACTTCCAGAATCCCTCTAGAGCAGGCACAGCTGGACAGGACGAGTAGGCTCTCCCTCGCAGGCTCTGGTTCCTGCAATCATCCTGGTGGGCAAGACCCTGCATGAAATTGTAAATAGAGGTGCTCCCACCACTCTGCTCCCTGCCTCATAGGCTTACAAGGGAAGGGCACTGTAAGATATTTAAATAAAAAGAAATAAAACATTTCTCTAGGAATTCTAAATGGCGGTTTTTTAAGCCTGCAGTCCTCTATAAATCTTAAATATAAAAAGTAGGTGGCTTTACCTGTAACTAAAAAATAAAATGTTACAAATATTACTTTTATTTTACTTGCAGGAAAAGCAAACTTGATTCCAGCTTAACTCCCTAAGTCGTATTTTTAAAATAGAGTTAGTAAATAAAATATATTCAAGTAATTCAAGGATGAGGTAGAAAGAAAAACTTATGATGGAAGGAAAAGAGGGAGGCCATTAGTAACTCACACATAACTTTCAAATAGAAAATCCTAGGAGCTGGTGTGGTGGCGCATGCCTATAATCCCAGCACTCGGGAAGCTGAGGCAGGAAGAGGACCGTGAATCTGAAGCAAGCCCGAACCACATAGTTCAAGGCCAGCCTGGGCTACATAGCAAGATCCTGTCTCAAAACACCAAAAAGAAAAAAGAAAGAAAGAGAGAAAAAAACACAAATATAAAATCTTAAGAGACACCACTCAGGCTGTCAGGATGGCTTTGCTACTCAAAGCAACCATCTAATGGCAACTAAAATAGCAATTCAGAAACTTGCTCTAAGATCATTAGCCAGCTCTTCAATTGGCTGTAAATAATACTGAACAGCAGAACATTTCTTCATAAAATACTGCAACAGATTCTAACAGCTAATGCCAAAGTCCACAAGAGGATTCGGAAAACCAGCATCAGGTACCCTAAGCAGTGCTTTGTAAGCATGTGCACGGTTTATTCTTGGAAAAGCAACAGTTTGAGATCTTTCTCTATCCCTTCACCCTGGTCTCCCTTTAAACTCTAAAGCAAAGTTGGCACTGGGTATTTCACAATGGCCTGGAAACCAAATTCAGGGAAATACAAACAGTTGTCTCTAGATATTGAAGGGGTTTGTTTCCAGGATTCTCTGAATGTCCTTTGTAGACCAGAATCAGAGGTTGTTCGAGTCCTTTCCATAAAATGGTACACGGCTAGCACATAACCTGTATTTCCCTATACTTTCAATCATTTCTAGACTACTCATAACACCTAACACAATGTGAATGGCACATAAACAGTTGTTATGCTGTGTTGTTTAGGGACAAGAAAAAGGTCCACACGTCAGTACAGGAGCAATTTTTTCCCAATACTTCTGACCCACAGATGCAGAGGTCTGACTGTATTTTTAAGTCTACCTCCTTTAGGGATCTCCCAGACCAAATCATGATGCAGCTTAAACCACCAAAGCTCACTAGTTACACAGAGCCCTAGGCTATGAAAGACAGAATGATCTGTTATAGAGTAATATACAGGCAGACTTGGGGTCTGAGGCCAGGGTGAGGCTGTGGGCCCTGCTTTCCTCACCCTCAGGATCTCTCTGGAGATGTAGGCGATCCAGTCCTCCTTGAGCGTGTTCCCTTTGGTGTTCTTCACGAGGTCCGTGATGGACCCTGCACCACAGAACTCCATAACAAGCTACAGGACACACAGCACACATGGCAATTACACACATGAGAGAAGCAGGAAGTGCCACCTGGCCCTATGGCCCGAACCCCAGGCAGGCGAACCCATGAGCACCCACTCCTGGCACGCATGGTCCAGGAGCTGTGAGTACGCGGCATTCCACGGCAGGCCTGTATGGTGGCTCTGACCACCCACTCACTCGTTTCTCCTGAGCACTTGGGCATAGTGAGCTACTGTCCTTCAGCACTGCCTGATGACCAGAAATCGGAATCCATACTCCCCAACAGCCTTTCTCATGCTACCTTGAAGATGGCCTCTTTCAAACTACTTCATATTAACTGGGTTTAATTCTAAAGGGAAATGTGGTTTTAAGCTGTTATGTAATTTTTACCAACTGCAAATTTATAATATCTATGTGTTTGAAAAATACAATCACAACTGTATGTGTAAATTACCTAGAAAATGAACTGAATTGAATTTTCTACAATTTAAACACTGATTGGATTCAGGCAATGGAAATAAGGATAATTCTTCCTTCTATTTTCTTAATTTTACAATCTTTTCTATAATGGAGTTTAAAAGAATCATTAGGAAAAACATCACTCTTATCTCCCAGTTTCATAAGCACAATGCCTCGAGCCTGTCTAGCAGGACAGCCACAGATCTGCCAGTCTCTCAAGGCCATCGTCTTGAATACAAATGGGTTCACAAGAGACAGGGCACCAAGTTCAATTCAGGAAATTTCCCTGGCATGCACTGTTTTTAACTAGAATCATTAATTTTATTAATAAGTGAATGACAATACTTTGTCTCTCATTTCAGATGATTTTTTTTTGTAAAAAAAAAAAGGCTGAAATTTATTAAGCTTTCATATTATGTGGTTCCCATAAAGGTTTTACTTCATTACTATCAGGCACTTATTTTCTTTGCTATTTGCTCACATTCCTTGTAGAGGATGCCATTTTATTTCTGAAACATGAAGCTAACTTTTTGCTTGCAATGTGAAATCAACCTCACAATAAACATTTAGAGTATCTTCAACAACAGAAAGCAGCTGAGAAAGCCTTTGGAATCTTCCAGCCACTGCCCTTTGTCACTTCTCTCCTGCCCCACGCACAGTGGTTAATGCCCTTATGAACACAACCACAGAGGAAGGCCGGCACACACAGGAACACCGCCTACCCAGAGCTGGTCATCGTGTCCTGGAGGGCTCTTTTTAATGAAAGCACCATAGTACGTTGCAATATTTCTATGATGAGAATATTTCTTCAGCATATTTATCTCCAGTTTGATTTCTTCCTCTTCATCCTTAAGAAAAAAGAAGAAAACACACAGTTTTTAAGTGATGTGCCAGACTTTATTTTTCTCCACACACATATATATAATGAGAAAAGAATGGGAAGTTCCCCATGCAGGGGAAATATATGGATCTACACTCACTCCATCCTCAGGAACTCATTCTGTGGGATGTGACCAGAGACTGTGTGAGAGGAACAGAGAGGAAACAGGGAAGAGGAGGCCACAGGCCAACGCCCAACTGGCTCCTGGCTCCTCACTAGCTGTGACCTTGGGCCATTCACCCCACTTCTCTGGGCCACAGTGTGCTCAACTGGGACCCAATAAGGTAACTGATAATACTACTTCAGCTGCTATTTACTAGGAAAGAATGTTCTAGAAAACACTGTCAATACAAATAGTCTGATCCACTTAATAAGGCCAGCAAAGTTGTGCCAAGCACATGACTGACCACAATGTGGTACTCACAGAAGGCCCCCACCCAGGAAGAGGCTGCATTCAGGGGAGCCCAGCAGGAATCAGGATAAAACCTCATTGACCAGTACCACTGAGCAATATATTCCAGACTTGGCTCTTTCCCTAACCTCCTGGTTATTAAAGCAAGGTATGCTTAGGAGAAGCAGGTTTTGAGATACGGTGAGGGCAAGGAAGGAAACAGATGGTCACACGGATAAGGAAAGTCAACTGTCCTTTTTTACCTGCCTCCCTCCACTTCCCCTTCTGGCTAAACTAGTCCCAGGGTCACCATTCCCAGCCAGCTCCACCAACAGGCTGGTGAAACAGAAAGTCAATGCTATCTGAGATTCTCCTGGAAGCGTCCTGAATAACCCTTCAGGATCAGGACACATTCTGACTAGTTCTGATGTATCTTTTTCTTTAACCAATGTCTTCTAGGGCCTAACTTCACCATTCTAGGGAGAGTCAAGAGCTTCTACAGGCACTATGTTTTCACAGCCCACCAATTAAAAATCAAGTACACATTCTGAGGTTCCTGAAGACTTACATTCTGTACTGTCCTCTGATATGAAAGGCACGAACTATGCACATTGATAAATACAGTCAACAGATAATCATCATGCACTGCATTTCACTGGCTCTAAAGCGCCTCTAGATAAAGACATGATTTACCTTATATAAAGTAACCATGGCACAACATTCAGTCCAAGACTCCCACTGTACCATCTTCAGACCTGGCTGCATCTTAGAATCAGTGAAACACAGAGCAGCTTAAAGAGAATCAAGTCTGACTACAGCTTTTCTAATATGACTGAAGCATCTGAGTATCATCTAGAAATACAGGGATCAGATCAACGTCACTCATCAAAATATTTCCAAGGTAGTAAGCAGTCAAATCCTGAAGCATTTAAAACTGAAACCCCTAAAATACTGAGGGGAAATGCAATTCTCTCAAAAATTTTAGGATGAAGTTTATAGATGTTTTAAACATTTCTTCTTGCTTTCTGATTTTAAACAGATGATTGTTACACATCTTCTAAAGGCACTTAGCACCATTAATTGTCCTTTACTGTCTAATTATGAATGCCCACCCTTGAAGAAAAAGCACAAATATAGAATTTGCCAACTACTTCGAGCCAACTACAACTAGAATTCCCATTAATGACTAATGCTTATTACACAGTATTTTATGTTGTCTTTAGAGTAACAGTGAACCAACTTCTGAGTTCTATCTAGTCTCCTTTAGTCATCCATTAAAAACAAGTTTGGTGGGCTCATTGCAACACTTAATTCATACACACATACCACCTTACCACGACCAAAACAAACAACTCATTTAGCCGAAGAAACAACAGCAGACAGACTTGGAATTGGCTAAAACTGAAATTTAAAAACACTGCCACCAAATCCCACAGATGAAAAGAAAGCTGAGCTGGCAAAACTGTGGATGAAGCCGACACAGGCCATGTGTCCTCCGGACCCCAACTACTGTGCCCTTCACAGGGCTGTGCTCAAGAAATGCAAATGGAGAGGGGCTGGCTGGGGAGCTGAGAGAACCCTTTCCAAAGGGAAGAAAGGGAAGGCTCCCCCTCCTTTTCTCCAATGGCCAGGCAGCTGCTAGCCTCCGCCCCCGGGGTTTCATGCAGCTGATGCCGATTAGCATTCTGGATGCTGACCAGCTAGCAAACTCTCACAGCAAAGTCTTTGTCTGGCCTGGGATCTGCCTAGGGGATGGGATTCAGTGGCCTCCCCTAGCTGTGAGAGGAGGGGAGGGCAAACATCTGCACTGTGGCAGTGTTCACAGCAGCACTGGCTGTGTGAGTGGTCAGATGACAAGCCTCCCACTTCACCATCTGGGCACACGGGTGTGGATGATCATCAGCACTTTGTTGTTTGTTCCCCAACATCTCCTTACAATGCTGTTTAAACTGTCCTTACCTAAATACTCTCTTGTTCCATTCACAGTAGGAACCACGTGAAGAGAGACAGGCTAACTGCAGGTGAGCCAACTGCAGCCCAAGAGGACCTGGAAGGCTCTGAGCGAACTGTTTTTCCACCGGACTCACCTTCTTCACAGGATAAAGTTCTATACTCTATCTTTGCTAATCGGAAGGATGGCTCATAAAATGAGATACAGATATATCTAAAAGATTTCTGCACCAAAATGCACAACTAAATATACACTTTAAAAATAGCTCCTGTAAGTCCAGCCCTTTAAGGGGCAGGGGGCAAATTCAAACCTGGCCTGGGCAACTTAATTCCTTATTGAGAGCCTGTCTCAAAATTTTAAAAAAGAACTAGGGATGTAGCTCAGTGCGAAGGCCCTGGGTTCAATCCCCAGTAATGAAAAAACAAAAATAAAAAATAATTTTGAATATCCATTTCTTAAAGCCAGTTTATAAGTTTGTTTTAGTCAACTACCATCTTTATATGACTACAAAGTGGTAGAAAAATGAGATCACTTTTTACTTTGCAAAATCCATTACATCTAAGCATATTATTCAGTATGAATCAAGTTAAAAGCAGCATATTAATCACATTTAATTCTTTCATTCAAAGTTACACCACTTAAATTCACCAACTATCTGCATAAACAAAAATGAAGAGAACTATGCAGCACAGAGTCCAAACAAAATTAAGGTTACAAGATCTGGTCAAAAGAAAGGAAGGATGTGTTCTTTAAATTAACCAGCCTCTGCAGATCAATCACTTCCAGAATAAAAACCCAATAGGATATCACAAAAATCCATATAACCACAATAGAAATCATACACTCATGGTAGCTTGCTCAAGAAAAAACACTGTTTTGAACACATTTCAGACTAAAAGACATACTCGACTTCTACTACTGAATTAATTCCTTCTGAGACTCCACACCCAAGTGTAAAGGCTCTGAAGCCAGAACATGCTTCCATCTATTCTGTCCATGGGTAAGACAAAACTCCTACACACAAGGTCACGAGAAAGCCCTCTACAAAATCTGTCCCTTGCTGAGCAGTATAATGTGACTTATCACTCAGATGGAAATTAAAAATAATATGACAAAGCCAGGGATTTAGCTCAATGGTGCCGCACCTGCCTGGCAAGCACAAGGTCCTGAGTTTGATCCCTAGTACCAAAATAATAATAATAATGATAATAATATGAAGAAGAGAATCTTATAACACCATGCACCTGCACCTGGGAGCCTGAAGGAGGGCTTCAGACTAACACTGAATTCTGTTGGAGGATGAATATAATTCACCTGCAGAAACTGCTTACTGATGCCAAGAAACCACAGAGAGGCCCCAAACATAACTCTGAAAACCCCCACCAAAAAGCATATGATGGCCTATGATATGGAGGATCTTACAAGAGTCAAGTCAAATAAACAGATCACTGTTGATTTGCTCTAGGCTCTGAAAAGAAACTTCTAGATCTTTCTCAAGTTTCAGGTCATCAATGCCCAACAGTCATGTTCAGACCCTACCTAGAAGGCAAAATACCCTTGGTACCAGTGTCTTCAACAAAGTAACTTTAAAACATCCCTATTAGCCCAAAATTGAATCTTCTACCAAAAATGTTGATTATATGGAAACTTTGAGACCAAGATTTCCAAAATCTAAACTGCTCAGTGGTTAACACAACAGGATGTTCTTGAAATCAACATTTTGCAATGGACAACACAAGAGCACACAGTATGTTTTAATAACTACATTATGTTTTGATGAATGTACGACCAGAAGAAAAAAGGAATGCCACCAAAGATTATCGCTAAATTATAGATACTTTTCTCTAACTTTTTAATTTTCTACAATCGGCGTGTACTATATTTTACTAATTTGGAAAAACCAAGTAAGTACCAGTTTAGGACAGAGGAGTGAGCCCTCTGAGTTCGCAAGGAGCTTCTCCCAGGCAACTTCCACAGTCCGCCTTCCTTTGTCCCTGGACTGGGGTGGGGGTGGGGGTGGGGGAGCTGCAGAGATGGAGCATGAGGCACAGAGGCCTGAGGATCCTCCTTGAGGACTCAGCAGGTACCATCAGCCCTGCCCAAAAGGATACCACCTGAGGTCAGGGAAAGAACTCAACCCTGACTCTGTGCATTTGAACCAGCGCTCCCAGAGATGGAAATCAGCACCTGCCACCACCAACCACACCAGAAATGCACATCCACAGGCATTCAGGGGAGCACCAGTAGGTTCTGGCCCCAGAGAGGAGCCAAATTAGCAGAGACTAAATGCTGGTGATCTAGCTCTAAAAAAAGAAAAACTTTTTAAGGATCACTTTTTTTTTTTTTTTGGTACCGGGGATCGAACTCAGGACCTTGCGCTTGCGAGGCAGGCACCGGAACCACTGAGTTAAATCCCTGACCATAAGGATCATTTGTTTAAGGATTACTGTTCCCAGTAATAAACTGCATCCCAAAATGAATGTCAGGAATATTATAAGAATAAAAAATATCCAGTATCTAGTAAGGTAAAATTCACAACACCTGCTTTCATTGAAAATTGCCATGCATGCAAATAAGCCAGAACACACAGCCATAAGGGGGAGGGGGAGTCCAACCAAAACAGTCC